AATAAAGTTTTCATACATTTGTGGAAATAAATTTACACAAAGTCTTAACGGAATGTAGGGCTGGGCAGAATTGCAAAAATGCAGTCTCAATAATTATTTTCCTCATTGAACAATAACAATATGCTTTTAGATAGAAGTTTTTAATGATTTCAGATTTAAAAGAGTATTCAACAATGACTGAAGCCACAAAAATTAGAGGGTCCAATAAACAGCATAACAGTTTTGGCTGATAAATTTTTAGTGGACGAAAATTTGGTACATCTCTAATTTCAACACACTTTTAGATTCCTATTGTTGCACATTTCTGCTGTGTGATTGGCTCTTAGACCAGTATTGAGTGAAAAGGTCCAGAGCTTATCATTGTTATTGACATAACTTTTATGGAGATTCGATGTAATATAGTTTATTGACCAGACATAACAAAACATGATCTTTTTTTTTAATATTCTAATGATTTGTGGAATAAAATAAGAAATCTATAACTTTGACAGATACAATGAATTGTTGATTATTGCCAAAAATACATCCATGCAGCATAGAACCATCTTTGTGGTCCAGAGTAGGCATGGGTCGGAATAGGAGTCTGATAACATTGGATAATGATATCACAGTATTATGGTATTGTAATTACTGTTCTAAAATCAGTTCTTTTTAAATGTCTGTATAAAAAATGTCAAGATTTCCACCATTGAACACAATATATATTTTATTTTGAGAAACATTTAAGATATTTTGGAAAAGTAGACTTGCCAGGCTAAATAATTCAAATGAATCATTGACTTCTGCTGCCTTCATTACTTTTAAAAACAGGTTTCTTTACAACTTGAAAAGGCATTTTTGAAGATCTTTCTTTTTTAGGATGGATGTTGGTTTAGAAGCTAAATAAAACAAATAAAATAGTCATAAAAAACATGTATATAAAAAAAAAAGGAAAACTAGAAACTAAATATACTCTAGGAACTATATAACAGAAAATGTTATTGATTTTAAAACCTCACCTTTTTAAAGCGCAGTAAACCTTGAAAACAGTTATCGTCCCATGCGTAGTCCAGAGTCACAAATATGAATTCATCAGCCAACCCCAATATGACCGCATATACATTGTGCATCAATAAAACAACATAAGCCCCACTAACTTTCACTGTACCTAATATTAACATTCATTTTCAATTACCTGATTACACACCGTCATTCAAGATGCATTACCAATTTGTGCATTCAAATGCATCTTTTGCAAACTTTTGTTTGGATTTTTTAAAACCCTTCCCTCGTATTTTGTCACTTTCGCTGTTGTGTTGAGTGCTACACGCGACTTTTACTGAATGAACAAAGCCACATCACATGACTTTCGAGCGAACAGGAAAACAAGTGAATGAAAAGGATGTGGTTGGCAACTACAATTCTGATTGTAATTCATGTTTTTTTGTGCAAAGTATGAATAGCTTGTTTTACTTTTTTTGCTCGGTTTTTTACTAATTAGCAGAATGGAAAGTTACAGCGGCCTGCAAACTCCAAATCTGCAGGATCCATGTCTGAAAATGTTTTCGTTAAGGATCTGAACGGCTGCAATAAATCATTAATAACCTGTAAGTTCCAAGCGGTTCGTTTTTCGATTCATTTTGCACACATGAGTCACTGAGATGTGAGTCAACCTCACCACGCGTATTAAAAGTTTACAGGGCTAAAATAACCCGCCTGCACCGACACCTTTAACTACTCTGAGCAAAAAGCCACTGCAAGTAGCAGGTATCACATTTCAATTAGTGCAACAATCAAGCTTTTGTTTCAACCCACCGCCACCAACACAAGCGCCTTGGAGCAACACTATACACCCCCCACCATTAATCTTACATTCGAAACAAACACACAGATACATGATATAACTGGACCATTTTCCCTGCTCTGAAAATAACCGTCACCCACAACCACACTGTTTTCCTTCTTTCACTCTCATGCAGCACTCAGAGAATGGCAGCATTTTAACTTCATGAAGAATTGCGAACTGACAAATGCAAAATGAGCCAGGACGATCAGATAAGTGTCAGAAAGGTGACGAGAAACACATTAGTCATTCTGTTACTTCAACAGTCGCAGCCTCACAGCGGTAAACCACACAATATCTACGCCAAAAAGAAGTTTAAAAATGTTTATGGTTCGACCAAATTTAACTATTTAATTTAATGTCCATCTTCCATCCATCACAACAGATGAATTTTGGATAAGGTTTTAAGCTGGTTTCTGTATAATGGAAGTCAATGAAGACAGGAAGCTGTCAAGCTCTACAACTTTATTAAGGTATAATAAATGTGGTTTATATTTCAAGACATTTCCGCAAGTCTTCTCAGGTCACATGATAATTTTGCTTAATAAAACAAAACTAAGCAACTGTTCATCTAAACACGTGAATCAGATAATCCAGTTTACAAAACTAGTCTAACTGAATACAAATAACTAACCAATCTTGTTAAAGTTAAAATTATATTTAAAAGCTTATTATAAACATACTAAATAAATAAACAAGTGAATAAAGTAATGAATCTATTTATTTGAATAGATAATTAAAATAAATAAATATTTACCTCAGCATATAACCAAAAATTACCAGTAAAGTTTTTTTAAAAACAAGACAAAAACTAAATAAAGTTACCAAAACCAATAATAAGTACATATTAAAATCAGAATAAATATTAAAATGTCACATAAATAATATTAACTTTGATTTACGCACCACAGTTAAGACAATAGTTAGCCATTGAATGGCAAGATGATCAGGGAACAATGACTAAAATGTTTGTCTGTCATCATACAACACAAGATAAATAGCAAAAATGGGCAACTGGTCAACTTTTATGATACTTAAATAACATTTTTTTTCCTCCCGCTGTCCAGATCCATGCTCATATTAAAAAGACAATGCAAAGTTTAGTTTTTGAGGATTACTTCATTATACACCACACACAAAAATTTAAAAAAAGTGTTCAAATCGAAACTCTGACAGTCCTTCAATCAAATCATGGGAAATCTTTTGCGCAAGCATTTTTTTCTTCCCCTGAGAGTGTCCGAGTTAATGAGTTATAGAGCCAGAGCTAACAAATGGACGAGGACAGAGAATCTATGCATCCTTTAATTCTTAACCCCATCTGCAGTCAAAGCGTTCAACACAAGATTGATTCATAGTTAATGCAGCCTGACGCTCGGCGTGTGAGAGAGAGGGAGCAGGGGAGAAAGGAACAGATAAAGGGGGAAGGGGGGCTCAGCCTGCGACCAGTGTGAGGAAGAGTTCAGAGGGTCTTTTCCCACACGCAGTCAGGGCATCCGTGGGTCCCGTAGCGTGTGAGCACCAACATACAGCACTATATGCAGCAGAACGCATGTTCTGTTCTGTTCTAGTGCATTAAACTACTGAAATAATACACTATATCTGATATGGTGAATACAAAGCTGCAGACCAAACTAGAAATGTTATGACATAATTATTAGAAAGATTCTTAATATACTGTGGAGGCAGTAAAAGCAAATCAGTCACGGTTTCAGCTATGTAATATTAAACAGGCAGAGTACAAGCATGTTGTCTACCAATGTACAAATATTAACCAAATATATATCAAATGGATTTCTGGAAAAAGTTGGTACAATAAATGTGGTTCTGTGATGTTTCTATAAATGGGCAGTGAATATTTTCTAAATGGTGGGAAGTGGTCAAGCTCTCCTAGCTCACAAAACTGCTGCAAATGGATCACTACATAATGTGAGTTGCTGTAAATTTAGAGGAACTTACTCAAAGTTTTCCAGCAGCGTTGCAGTGCACTGAATACCTCAGGCTAAATCATTGCAATTAACATTGCAGGAGCGAAGAATGGGAGTGTTAAAATAGCGCTTGATGACTCTGATAAGATTCGTTCACGTTTCTGCGTCCACAATGTACACGTTCTAAACGTGCCTGTCATGGTGTCTGGATAGGGAGACAACCATAATTATAGAATTTAACATGGTCAGTGTGATCTCCATCACATTTGATTATGACAAAAATAATAACCATTGGAAAAATGTACGATTAATAAGACTCATCTTGCTGGCTTGCCTATTAGCAAAGTGGTAAATGCTGGTTTTAAAGTGCATTATGACTTCAATTGCTTTCATGCACTCCAGTTTGGTGAGCAGAAGCGTTAAAACAATGTAATCATGCTCTGCATTGATTTGTTCATTTCTAACCCATGAAAATTTAATCTCCACCCTCTGTGTCACAAACCAGGAAACCATCTTGTTGTTTGGGTATTTTGAACTACATCATAATGAAGTGAGAGCTGAAGCTACAAAATATCCTCATACAACTACATAACACACCTGAAAAAATTATGTGTTGTTGCAGTTTTACATTAAAGGTCAGAATGAAAAAAAAGTTGGAAGAATAAATAAAAACTTTAAATATTTATGTTAGAAGAAAACTTCTTGCTAAAACAAAGTAACTTCAGCTCGTGTAAACGATCAGCTGATCCTACAACTGGTCAACAAACTTGCTTCTGATTAAACATCATAAAAAGAAAAAACTCAATTTGTTGTTATATTAACCTCGATATTATACAAAACAACCATGGAAATCGCACAATAAACAACGTTCCCCAAATAACTTATTTATTTAAGGTCGTAGTTCAACTCAAAGGACACAAACTGCATTTAAACCTCCTTTAAAACGATGATTAACTTGGTAAAACAGTGTTAAACTGTGTCTAGATAATGCCAAAATGTCCGTAAATATATTTAAAAATCTATAAACGGATCCTGTTATGAAAAGTAAACAAACATGCTGGAGAATGTTGTCTCTGGCAACACTGTGTTACTACGATTATTGTCTCAAAGGCAGAATAACTAGGTGGCAAGATCCCCACCATGGACAAGAATCTGCTTCTAAATAACCGGCATCGCGTAACATTGTTTCAAGAACACAACATTGTTCAAACGTCTTTGTTTACGATCGCGAGAAAGTGATTCGTTTCACTTACCGGTGCAAATGTATCCAGTGAAACACTCCAGTTTCTTTAAGCCACTTCTACGCATCCGCCATCTTCAGCATTAGCTATGTTTGTTTAAATGGGAAACACTCCCAAAGCTTAAAGAAGCCTGACTGAATCGTGTGCGCGAGGGCTTGTGGGTAATGAAGTTCTGCCATCCGGGCGATCAGCGCATTCTCCTTGAAGCTACAGAGGATAAAAACTACAATTACATGAACCCCCGCAGATCGAAAAATAGACATCCAGTAGGAGATGGGCAGTAGTAGCAATATCGTAGAAAAAAATATAGTGCATTTATTTTTAGCTCAACCGAGGACCACATAGAGATAACAGTCACGTATCCCTAATGAGTACGGTGACGTACGCTTTTATTTACATAAGTTGTGAGTGATGAATTCGCTGTGTTCGCGCGAGATCGAATTATCTGTTTCGTAGCACACCTTTTTATTCATAGTATGCTAAATCAAATCACTTTATTGTCACTTCAAAATGTACAAATGTCTCTTGTGATTCATCAACAATGCAGTGACTGTAAAATAATGTAGCCTACAAAATATTACACATTGTAATATCAGTATGATATATACAAAAATATACTTTAGTTTAAATAATATATGCACCATTTAACCAGTTATTTGAAGTTGCACATATGTTGCAAAATAGTACTTTACAAACTAAACCGAACAAATATACCCTAGATATCTAAATGTGGAAGCAAATTTATAATTTAAACCACATATGCGTATTTAAATATTAAAGGTTTATGTCACTTTTGAGCAGGAGTGGCCAAACTTTTTCTTTTAAAGGGCCAAAATCAAAGCTTGATTAAGACCTGTGGACTGAAAGTAAATATAGCAAACTATTACATTAAAATTGCCATGGGTAATTTCCTAATTTATTTCATAATTTTTATAAATAAATAGAAAAAAATACTTCAATCGTATTTATGAATGCATGCAATTCTTTTTGAAAATGTATACTATTTTAAAAAACTTATTACAATAAAACCTTTAAAAAATATATTTTTGAAAAATCAAAACAATGGAATTCAATGCTAAAAACAGTAGTTATGCTGAACCTGCCTTTGCCTTGATTTGCAGGTTGTTGTCTTCTGCTTTGTCCCCTATTCGTTAAGTGACAGTATGGACATTTTTTACAAATCTAATTCATGTACAAAGTTAAAGTGAAACATTTAATTTCAGTTTGCTATTTTTGTTGCTCAACAATAAAACAAACAAACAAACAAAAAGTTTCATTAAAATACAAATGAGAATCTCCATCAAAGGCATTATCAAGCCCTTCCCAATAATTTTCCTTCCGGTGGGCCAAATCCAAGGATACAAAGGGACAACTTTGCTTTTGAGGGTAAAGTTATATGCAGTTTATTAAAGATACATTTAGCACAAATAGATTGTTTTCGCTTTAGGCTACTTACATTTTGCTGACATGATATTGTGTATTTTTGCAGTTAATTTCCCATACAGCTGCATGTGTGTTTTATATAGTTAACAAGTTGTTCTCATGCGGGTAAGATGCCCTCACAATCTATTTTATTTATGCGAAAGTAACAAATATTAAAAAGGAGAGTTCGTTTTCTCTCATAGTACTGCGTGTGCAGGAAGAGATTCTTCAAAACATATTGTTTTATACATTATAAATGACACAGTAAACTAAGCAGCATTTCTGTAAATTATTAAATGCACATGGATCTGATATTCATAATAAACTCTCATTCTGTTGTGCATTTTTTATTTCTCATCAAAGTATGCCATCCATCGCTCACATTTTGACAGTGATGATATTTTTTGTGAAAATGGATGGCATACAATAACATTTGAGATATAGTTTGTAAGAAATATGTCTTTCACAGGTAAAGATATCCTCGAAAATTAATTTTAATTGTGCAAAACTACAAAAATAACACAACAAATACTTACACTAAAAAAAAATTACATTTACTGTTTGTTCAAACTGCTCATTTTGAATAAGCTGAAGCAACAACATTCTTGAGTTGGGTTTTTTTTGGGGACAACTTAAATGTTCAATCCACTTAAATTTGTAAAAACTAAAAAGTAACTTAATTCTTTCATGTCGTCCCAACACAAAATTCATTCATGTTGTCCTAACACAAATCGATTAAGTCAGTGTAACAAATTTAAGTGAATTGAACAAAAAACAATTAAGTTGTCCCAAAAAAATCTCAAGAATTGTGTAGGTTTAGCTCATTTTAAATAAGTAGTCTGAACAAGCAGCAAATATCATTTTTGTTTTGAGTATACTGCTGCATGTGCAAGAGGAGATTCTACAAAACATATTGCTATATACATAATAAATGAAACAGCAAACAGGTCATTAATAAAGACGCACAGATCCATGATATTACTATAATCATTGTACATTTTTGATCATCACGTACAGAGAACCAAATGATCAAAACAAGACATTTTAGGACACACTCGTGCTCTCGTGGTCTGCAGAGGCTGAAAGTGCTCTGCCCTCTGAAGACCAGACATGGAAGATAGCAATGAACTAGTCTCCATGGTGATCTCTGAGGCATACCAGTGTTGAATTTCAACTGTTGGAGAAGGAGACAGCGCTAAAGAGGGAGGGAGTCAAGGAAAAACAGAGGGGAGGGAGGAACGGTGGGAGGGAGGGGGAGGGGAGAGAGACAGACAGACTGAGAAAGAGAGAGAGTAGTAATTAGCTCATTGCTAGCTGTTTCCTGTCATGACAGTTCCCTGTGATACAACCTCGGGTCTCATCTGGCCAAAAAAAAAAAAAAATGTAGACGTGAAGCATCAAGATATTTCACCTCAAGAATTGCAAAGGAAAAACTCAACAGTTTTTGGATTGTGATCATCAACCTGCACGCCACAAAATTTGCACCACTTTGAAGCAAAGTGGTACTGTATATATCTCAATTTTCATCACTGAAGACTAATAGCCTGGTATATGCCAATAAAACAAAAATAATTTGCATTTGTCCACAACTGAGAGTCCCTTCAGAAACCCAAAAGAGGCCCATAGACCTGTTGTTGTTCCCTCCCCCAATTCACAGCACAATCTGACTTCCCCCTTCCAAGAGTGTGAGACGGTTTTTACCCACCAACCCCCTCTGTCCCCTTTGAAAGGACAGGAGATAGCAGTTTAAAAGCACAGGAGATTAGCCCCCAATCATCTGCATATATAGATCCTCTACCTGCAAACACACAGCCATGAACCTCTCTTTCTTTCACCCACGTGAAGTGCTTTTGTGATTTACTAGGTTAAATCACCTCTTCAGGAATGTGTGGATGAGCACTGAGTATGAAATTGAAAGCGCAATAATTACATCTGTTTAATTCAAGGTTAGGAAATTGTATGAGTACGTTCGAAGCTCTTGAGGGCAATTGAGTGTTTAATAAAGGAGATAAATGAGATGCTGTGTTCATACTTTACTTGCAGTATTGAAAATCATACAGGCTGTCAGTGTATGTACATTATGTTTATAAATGTACAGTATACTGCAGTTTAAACCAGCATGTACTTGTGACTCATCTGGATATTGTAAGGTGCCGCCTATGGAAAAACTCTCTGTATCATCGATATTTCTTTGGCTTGAGATCTTCCATGCTGTGCGAGTGTGTGTCTGTGTCAGTATGTGTTTTGATTTATTAATGCAGCAGGGAGTCTCAGACAGCTGTCCTCAGCAAAGATGACAACACGAGAAGCTGAAAGCTGAATAGCCTCCTCTAGTGGACAGCCTGAGATATGACCGTTTATAGGGTTTGACCCCAAAGGATCTTGTAGTGGACAAAGAACATACTTGATGAATCGTTTGAGTGTATAGACTTAAAATAAATACATACTTGTTCAATTAAATGTTTTGTGACTAGGTAACAGTCTCATTTGTTCTCACATAGATCTCTTTGTAAAATAGCCTGAGAAACAGATTCAGCTTCTTCGTCAAAACTTGAACTTAACACTCTCTAAATTCTGTTTTAGTAGAGATTATTTGACAAATACAATTTAACCGGCAGTCTAATTTTACAATTTTCACTGACTTTTCATGACTGTGAGCCATTGTAAAGTGTCTGAATACCTCAGGTTGTTCAGAGGACATTAAGGTCAAAGGGATGAGACCTTCAGCTACAGAAAGAGAAGCTGGTTGTCCCAAATCTGCGATGTCTAGAGTATTTCATCTTTACAATGTCATTAATTCATTCGATTCACTCAAAGAAGGTTGGTCATCCACAAAAGATACATGTACGAGAGGGCAGGATAATGCGGAGAATTTTAATGGGCTATCGGTTCAACACTGAAGCTGGGATTGATCACAGTTCAGAGCTGAACAGAGTAAAGATTGTATCTGCATGCAGTATCTCAGTGTATAAGACAATTTGCACTGAAATCCTCTGATCAGCCTAAAGAATCAAAAGACTTGACTTAGCTTTGTTGAGGAGCATGTTGTGTGGACAGAGAATTGTATCAAACACTTTAGTGATGAAAGCAAGTTTAATAAATTTGTGTCCAATAGAAAGCAAAACAAGGGGGGAAATGACCCAACGCTTATAAAGAAATGCATAAAAATGTTTTGGGGATACATTTTGCAGCAGAGGATTGGTGTCTTATAAAGCTAATGTACATGAAAGACTGCAAAATGTTTACCAGAAGCTCCTTCGGCAACGTGATTACTTCAATGCATTGCTTAATTAGACAGCAATTCTTTTTCAGAACAGCGAGACCACTGCAGAATGGGTAAACCAGTTCCTTAAAGCTGAAAACATCAAAAAATTAAATGGCCAGCCTACAGTCCTGATCTAAACCTGATTGAACTTCACGGAAAAATCCTTGCAGCAGCGTTTTGAATTGGAAACCAAACACCTTCAGCGAATTGTGGAAGAGACTGACGAAGAGAAGATCAAGATCAATCATTTTGATCCCCCTAGCAACACACAAAACCAAAACAACATAGTAATAAACATTTGCATGTAAAATTTTTATAACTTAATGGAAACATTAGCCAAATCTTCTTAGAACATGAGTTGTTAGCTGGATTTCTTCTGTTCGGTTGGATATGTACACAATATTTGTGGTACACACTCATCAACAATACACTTGAAAAAACAACACCGATAACCAACATGGTTTCAACATTGCTAGTTCAAGCCTCGGCTTTGGTTACAAGTCCAAAGACATGTGGTACGGGTGAATCGCGTATGCTAAAATTGACTGTAGTGTGTGAATGAGTGTGTATGGATGTGTCACAGTGACGGGTTGCGGCTGGAAGGGCATCTGCTGCGTAAAACATTTGCTGGATAAGTTGGTGGTTCATTCCACTGTGGCGACCCCAGATTAATAAGGGGACTAAGCCGAAAAGAAAATGAATAAATGAATAACCAACATGAATACATAGAACCGAGGGTTGGTAAATTATTTAGTATTACTAAATCCACTTAAATACATTATTAAGCAATTTGTAATGGACTAAACATGCTGTGAACAACTTGGCAACTGACTAAAACACCATTAATGCAAGGCAGTGGCGCAGTAGGTAGTGCTGTCGCCTCACAGCAAGAAGGTCGCTGGGTTGCTGGTTCGAACCTCGGCTCAGTTGGCGTTTCTGTGTAGAGTGTGCATGTTCTTCCTGCCTTCGCATGGGTTTCCTCCAGGTGCTCCGGTTTCCCCCACAGTCCAAAGACATGCGGTTCAGGTGAATTGGGTAGGCTAAATTGTCCGTAGTGTGTGTGTATGTATGTGTGTGTGTGTGTGTGTGTGTGGATGATTCCCAGAGATGGGCTGCAGCTGAAAGGGCATCCGCTGCGTAAAAACTTGCTGAATAAGTTGGCAGTTCATTCCGCTGTGGCAACCCCAGATTAATAAAGAGACTAAGCCGACAAGAAAATGAATGAATAAATGGATATGCAACAATAACAAGTAAACAATAACAACAAAAAATGATTCCGCATAAAAATAAAACACTTCCATGGAGCAACATTATAGCACTTATATATTCAGCTCTGAGTTTTCTTGATTCAATGTGTGCGTATTATTCCTTCTTTCTAGTTACTAACACATGAAGTCTGGTTAAGTAAAGAAACAACAGGTGCGGGTGTGTTTTTCATAAGCTGACACATTGAAAGGTGCTGGAGAACCCGTTTAACTGGTGCAGGTTTTAAATAAGTTCAAGCTCCACCCTCTCAGGTCAGTCAGAAACACATGATCATGGCGTATCAGACATCAAGCCAATGTGACTTTTCAGATCTGAACTGATTTTGAAATAGTAGGCATTGGTCAATGGTTAAACACAGGGTATCATACAGTAAATCACTGAAGATCACATAGAATTTCAAGGTGAAGTTCAGGACACACAGAAAGAAACATTTATTTGCTAGATAGAAGAATGATACATTTAAAAATGCTATCTTTTTAGGTTATATCAAATTACCTTTCAAGTTATTTGAAGTGAATAGAAGTGATTACAAGTCACTTCAGCTTACATTTTATTAAATTGACGCTAAAGATAAAGTTGAATTTTGTATAAATTGTAAATAAAAAGTAAAAACTAATTTTAAAATAAAAAAAATCACAAAAAGGCATGTTGTCATAACTTAATGGTCATATAATCAATGAGACATTTCATTTAAAAGCCATGTGATCATGCGGAAAAAAAGTGAGAAAGAGTGTTTACAAGGGTTTCACATAAAAATGTTTTATAACCAAATATTTCACACTTGTTGCACTTTTTTTGACATGTGGTTGCACATGTGAAGCTAGTGTTGTTTTTCTGGAATGGTTTTTGCAATCTTTGTGTTCTAAAAATGTTCCAAAATACCACAAATGTTTGATATTTTGCCAGAAATGTTAACCTAAACGTTCTGTTAACCTTCTCATCTAAAAGGGAAGTCGCTCTGAACATTGAACAACAGTTAAGAACAACATTTACTAGTATTAAAAGAATGATCTGCTCCTTAATAATGTTAGCAAAATGTTAGCACAAACATAACATTTACTCAAATTTCATGGATATTTGTTTTCTAAAAATGTTTTTGTTGGAAGGTTGATGGTTCGAGTCCTGGAAGTGAATTGAATAAACTAAATTGACCATAGTGTATGTGTGTGAATGAGTTTGTATTAATGTTTCCCAGTACGGGGTTGCTGCTGGAATCCGCTGTGTAAAACATATGCTGAATAAGTTCACAGTTCATTCCGCTGTGGTGACCCCAGATGGATAAAGGCACTAAGCCGAAGGAAAATAAATGAATGAATAAATTATAAATAGTCACATTATTACTAAATTTTGGAAAACAAAAAGTATTAATCCAAAATGTTTGCAAAATAATAAAATGGTTCACATTTTCATAACCAATCATTTAAAAAAGAATAGATTTTAAAGACTGAACATTTAGATATTTCAATATAAAGGTTATTATAACATATGTATAACTTACACAAGGAAACATTAGGTGCATATATTGGTAGTTTTTATGCTAGGTTACATGCTTAAAGAAACAAAACATGATGCTAAATTTACTGGATTAAATATAACAGGTATAACAGCTGTAGTAAATGATTAACAAACTAACCGAGCTTTTACAGCATACAATATGAACCCAAAAAATATATATATATTAAAGCTGAAAAGTGTATATTTGTTCAATATTTATCATTTAACTTCTTCATATTTGAACATTTTCACTGTTTGAGGGTTTCATTTAGAATTTCAAGGTCTAGTGCATGTATATTGTCACTGTTGTGGTAATTTAACAAATATTCGATGTTCTTTACTATAAGTAATGTTTTTATGGTGTTATTTCACTCAGTTTTAGTAGTAAAGATCAAGGCCTAGCTCCTTTTTCAGTCCCCAATCCTGCCACAGCCTGTCTCTATACTGAACAAAAGACATTCACTCAGGAAACATGTCAGCCAATCACCCGCTCCCTTTCATTTGGTTGCTAAAAACCAGCCAATCGGTAAGCCTCTTTCATAATCAGAATGTTGGCTTGCCTGGCTTGGAGAAGCCGAGACTGCTGTGCATAGAGAGAGTGAGAGAGAGAGAGAAGGAGGTCTGTCCTCCATGTTTTAATAAGCATTGGCATTACTCAGTGTGTTTTAAGCCATGCATCCACAGAGGTAAGAGATCTTTCATTGCTTGTATGCTTTCTACACTACTTGCTAATGCTAATGGTTGAATTGTGTCATGCAGAAATACTGGCTTTTCTCACAGACAGGGGGGGCAAAAACCTGTCCCAACACCAAAAGAGAGAGGGAGTGAGAGAGAGATTTGGATCCTGGCAGACAGAAGCAACTCAGAAATCACACTCACTCTGTGTTTTAGTCTTCAGGATCGCATGGCTGACCTGTGCTAACACTCTGACCAAAATGGCCTCTTCTGGTGTCTCTCCTAGCTATGTTTCTGTAGAGCCGGAGAGGAGCACAGTCGTGTCACAGGCCAGACCTCTCAAAATGAAGGCCCTGAGGAGGAGCAGACGGTGCAGACTTTAAGAGGAAGAGCACATTTTGACTGGCAGAATGACCGAGCTGCAGATTTGGCTCAGGTTGTAGGTTAAGGAAAGACTTCAATAGCTGACATAATGGCTATATGGCCATTTTGCTCAGGATGCAGGCCTAATTTGCAAAAGCATACAACAGATTGCTTTTGCTGACTGAGTTATTGGGTTTGAAATAGAAGCGACTTTCTTTTTCTATAAAAATAGAGGGATTGAGATAGGGAATTAGGCTTGTGTTTGGGTTTCTGAGTTAAATACCGGTTTCTGTCTGTTTACTTAGGTTGTAAATATACTCAATACAGGACAGGCATTTCATCAAAACTTAGTTGTGGTATGAGTTGGCAGCCATTTCAGATAGACTTCCTTTTTCGGCTGTGCAACCGCAAAACAGTGTTTGTGTTGATGAATTTAATCGTTTCTTTATGCGGTTTGATTAATATTTTGTTTGGAGGGTTTATGTTTTTGAATGGAAAGCCATAGCAGGGGTCTGATCAGACGGTCAAGGCAGACTGGGGTCTAGTGTTTTTCCACATCAGATTGAGTTGTGTTTTGGTTTGTCTTCGAAATGCCTGCTTGTTGACTGCTTGTCTTTCAACATAATCAGGTTGGTGGGCTTTACCTGTTGGAATGACAGCTTATATCTGTGTGAGGTTGAATGTTTTAGAAACAGGGTTTAATTTTTGTCAGTTAATCTGATAAAAATGATTTTAAAAGAAATCATAAGTTCTATCCCATATCTATGGATAGGTTTTATCCATTTTAAGTCATGGTTATTCATAATACTAGATTCAATAAATAGGAAAATATAAATGTTTAAAATAATTTGCGCTTTTCATGAAACAATTATGTGCACATTATCCGGTGGTCTAAGGGGAAATATACAAGTGAAGTCAGAATTATTAGCCCCTCTTTGAATAGTTTTTTTTGTTTATTTTTTTAAATACTCCCCAAATATTGTTGAACAGAACAAGGAAATTTCACAGTATGTCTGATAATAGTGTTTTCTAGAGAAAGTCTTAGAAATCTAGAATTAATGCAGATTTAAGGTCAGCATTATTAGCCCATTTAAGCTATATATTTTTGATAGTCTACAGAACAAACCATTGTTTTACAATAACTTGCCTAATTACCCCAACCTACCTATTTAACCTAATTAACCCACATAAGCCTTTAAATGTCACTTTAAGCTGTAAAAATGTGTCTTGAAGAATATATTATCTAGTAAAATATTATTTACTGTCATCATGGCATATAATAAAATAAATCAGTTATTAGAAATTTTATAAAGAGAGTTAATAAAACTTGTTTAGAAGTGTGTGGAAAAAACTAATAATTCTGGCTTTAACTGTATGTATATATATATATATATATATATATATATATATATATATATATATATATATATATATATATATATATAAAGTGTGTATGTTTTCTAAATAAAAACATCCATAAATCAAACAACAGCTTGAACAATTAAATATCATTTTCATTAAACTGTTAAATATGTATATCTTTGAACAATGCAAATGCTATTTTAAATGTCATGTGGTCTAACCATGATTTTTTTACATAAAATAATATCCCACATTTTTCAATGACAAAATTTCCTGTTTTCATTTTTTGAAATTGTGGTGACACCACTAGACCTAAACTATAGCATTTTATGCGAAACTAGTATGGTTTTCTTATCATACATATACATTTTAATGAGCTACATTTATTTGTTATGATTTCAGGCCAGTCCCACCCTGACTTTTTAACTTATAAAACAAATCTAAATTCATTTTATTATAGAAATCAAAAACATGCACCTTTATGTATACATTTTATTTAAAAGTATATTTGAATAAACCAATGGAGCCAGACACAACAATGCGCATCACTACCCCTAATACAGCATTACCATTCAAACAGAAATTATTTTTAGCTGGCGCATGAGCTCATTTTGGCAGCCGCCATCTGACAGTAAGTCAGTCATACCGAATGGCACAGCATAAGGAGTATTCCCAAGACCTGCAATTTACCACGACTCTGATTACAATCCCCAGCCTATTCTTTGTCTCTTGCTGTTTACAGGGCCCTTGCCACATTCCTGCGAGTCACTCATTTGTGAAATCCCCATACTTAAGCACAGGGATCTGATCAAAACGGTCACGGCAAACCATCTGACTTGTATGTCCAAACGTCTTGATTCTTGACAGTCGTTTTCATGGAGGAATCTGGGTATTTTCCCACTGAATGGCAATAGCAGCAGCCCTCCCTGCATTGCAGCAGTGTATCAGAGCAGAGAGAGGAGAGCCTGTGTGGCACACAGCAGCAGCCGCCCAATCACGCGCCTCCGTGTGGCTCTCAAACCAATCGGCAGCACACAGCTGAGGTTAAAGATTGACAATCGCTCTGAGAGCAGCAGGGAGAGCAAGGCCCTTCTGGAAAATTCTGCACCCATCTTTGTCTCATCCCTCACTGCCTTTATATCTGAAAACAAAAAACACACATTTAAAAGCTCAGCCTGAAGAACTGTAAAGAAAAGGTATGCTGTTATTATATATATATGTCAGTTTTTACATGGAGAGCAATTCAATGCTGTGTGTCGTTGTTTTTATTGAGGAAGGAGGGTTGTGTGTTGACTGAGGTTATATGTGTGTTTGGGATTGCATTTAAACTGTTTTCGGCTGACTGCTTGCATTAAAGGAGATGTGGGTGGGGAATGGATGGCGCATGTAGGATGGACATGAGGAGGCCAAGATGGCAAACGCTCAAGCTCTACAGATGTTTGTTCATGCTGTCAGCTCATGCCCTCAACATCTGCATCTCTGAAGATTTGAGGTGCAGGACACAGCGGGATGCAGACCTAAATGCCAGTAACACTGTGATTTTTGTGTTTCCAACATCCATCTGGAGGTTTGCTGATGCACATTGAATTCATGAACAAGATATGGTGGGCGTATGTGATGATAACCGAGCATCAGGAAAGGAGCTTTTTTGTGTAGTCTTAAATTGAGGTTTAGAGGCACATCGCTCTGGTGTTTGTGCGCTGATTGCTTTTTCTGATAGATCATTCGGTTTTGCCAGTGAGAGGTAACCATCTTGGCTTTACCTTTGCCAGTGTTATAACTGAATTTTGTTACCTGCTGTGTTTTTTTAATGAAAAAAAGCACATTTATATTTCTAGAAAGGAAATTGCTTTGAGTTTGTTATAGGCCTGATTATAATTGTGTCTTATATGATATACTAGTAATAGAAAGGCTGGTTAATTAGTGTTATTTGGATGCTAGTATTAGTGTTTTTGCATTGTAAACAATGGCAAACTGCTTTAAAAACCTATACTATGATTATGATTTAATGTATATTGTAGTTTTGTTGGCATGAAATAGTGTATTAAGGTCAACTGGTGATCTGGATGCTAGTATTAGTATTTTGTGCATTGTAAACAGTGGTAAACTGCTTTAAAAACCTATACCATAATCATGATTAAATGTATAATGTAGTTTTGTTGGCATGAATAAATGTATTAAGGTGAACTGGTGATGTGCTTTGATGATCGCTTCATCTTCAGAGACGTTGGCATTTTTGATTAGCATATTTTGCTAGTTTGCCAGCAAATGGACACTGATAGAAGTGTTTCTGTTATAAAATCAAAACGTCTTGTCAAATAATTATGTAATTATTTTGTTAAATAAGTGCTTGTTTATTTTTACATGATGATGGACATTATTTTACCTATTTTTACCATTTTAAAACAACTTAAAGAGCCAATTAAAGGATCATTAAAAGAAACGATTTCCTTGCATTTAACTTGGTTTTTATGTAGATGTAATTTATTCAACATTTCCATTTCATTTGCACTGCATATTTTTACATAAACTAATAAACTTGAATGAATATCTGTCTGTCATTCATGGGGAAATGAAATTTAGTTGATGCTGTTACATTGGAGAAACTCCAGTCAGTCACTTTTTTGGTGTGTGTTTACAATTATTGTAATCCGATGGCACTTAATTGCAAACAAATTCATCAGGAAATACCACAAAATCATCAAGTAAAATGTCCATTTCTACAAATTTTATTATTGTAATACTTTTTAATATGCAGTTTCTTCAATAAGATGATTGTAGGTGGGCATTTTGGATTCACATTAGCATTGGCCCCACAGAGATGAGAGTAAGCATATTGTGTTGACTTTGAGGGAGGCCTGTTGTGAATCTGACGTCAAAGGGCTTTTTAACTGCGAACCTCCTTCTGTTCTGTTGAAATTACACCTGAATTCAGTCAAACATGATATGAAGGGATTTGGTAAAATGGTGAAGTATAAGGTTAGGTTTATCATCAATTGAGCTTTATTATTGCTAAAAACTATCTTTGCTTAAAAACATTGTAATACAAAAAGAAAGTTAAACTAATGCTCTTTGCAAACTAATTATTTGTTTAAAATGAAACATTAATGATCTATGAATTCTACTATCAATCTGTTGTTTTTTTTGAATGAGTAATTGAGTCAATGGTATGTTTCTCAATTTTAAGACCGGTCTTGCCAGCTTACCTCGGACGAACGAACTCTGGAGACCACGAGAACAGAGAACGCGTCCTGTCAGAAATGAGATGCTGCGTTCTTCCTGATGGTCACATGACCTTCACCTGTTTTTAACAGAGAATTATAAAACATCACAGCATTCATACAACGATTTATAGTTTTTCTCCCTTGTCAGTATGTATAAAATGCACAAATAATTACAAATATACTCGTATGCAAATATACACACAATACAAACAAAACAGATTTTAATATGAATTTCAGAAAATAAACACCCTGTGTGTTTATGTCTTGTTAAGATTATCATTGTGAATGTTTACTTTCTCTGTCTCATTTAGGGAAACTCCTGAGATAAATATGTTATATCTCTGAAATTTAATATTAAGCAGGCATAAAGTGCTGCGCTTCCCACCTGCATTTTCAGAATCAACCGCAATGCAACTTCTCGATCGAGTTTTGCGCTCAAGTCTGCATCGATACATCCTCGATATCAAGAGCGCATCAGGGAACTTTTAAACGTCCTTCATTCTAGCGGTCTTGAGTTTTGGAACTGGACTTGATGATATTACACAAGAACACCACGATGCAAGAACGCTGAAGAATGCATATTGAGAAACAGCCAATGACTCATTGACTGGAGACTCACTCTGTCCAAATCATTTGAATCAGTAATTTGTTACCTAGAGACTCTCTTGAGTAGAAACATTTAAATCAATAAATTGTTAGTGACTCACTCTGACTGGATTATCTGAATTAGTGAACTGTTAACTAGAGAATCACTATGACTGGATCATCTAAATCAGTGAAATATTAACTGGAGACTTGCTCTGACTGGATCAACTGTATCAGTGAACTATTAACTGGAGACTCACTTTCACTGGATCATCTGAATCAGCGAACTGCTAACTTGAGACTTGCTTTGACTGGATCATTTGAATCAGTGAACAAATAGGTGATTTTGTTAACTGGAGACTCACTTGAGTAATCAGTTAAATTGCTAAATCATTCACTAGAGACTCGCTTTCACTTGATCATTTGAATCAGTGTACTGTTAACTTGAGATTTGATCAAAGATCTTGTAGCTTAAGGGATGCAACGATTATAGGTTTTGCTTGTGCGATTATCGTCTAAAAATAATCACAATTTCATGGTTATCACGATTATTATGCATTCATTGTTTTCAAATCACACTAGTTTAAACATAAATAATTTTACACTGTAAATAAATGACAGAACAATTAATCAATAAAAATAGGAATAAATAAAATAACTGTATTTGTCTAACGCAGGGCTTGAAATTTCCAACTTCAAAAATGTAGAAGCACCCACCAAAAATTAATAAGCACCACTGCAACTTGTATATTAACAGATTTATTTGAAAACAACATCAATCAGAACTAACAAACACCAGAAACAACTGTCTAATGCTGTGATGACTTATTGATATTTGTGGAATAATTCCAAAACTAATGTCTAATAATTATAAAACATTATTGATGACGAAGATGACAATAATACTAACAATGAACTACATTTCTAATTATCATGCTGCCTTGAATGTACTTGAATGAGAGTTATCTGCTATAAAAAGTCCTACTGCTAGTTTATGGCGCAGTAGGTAGTGCTGTCGCCTCACAGCCAGAAGGTCGCTGGTTTGAGCCTCGGCTCAGTTGGCGTTTCTATGTGGAGTTTGCATGTTCTCCCTGCATTCGCATGGGTTTCCTTCAGGTACTCCGGTTTCCCCCACAGTCCAAAGACATGCGGTACAGGTAAATTGGGTAGGCTAAATTGTCCGTAGTGTATGAGTGTGTGTGTGTGGATGTTTCCCAGAGATGGGTTGCGGCCGGAAGAGCATCCGCTGTGTAAAAACTTGCTGGATAAGTTGGTGGTTCATTCAATAGACAAAAAAAAAAAGAAGAAAAGTCTCACTTCTGCACTTCTTCAAAAGTTTTGGTTTGGGTTTGTGTCATTTTAAATGCTCAGTCTCGTTATGAGCTGATTTTCATTTCTCTGAGTTTGTGGAAAACAGCAGGCGAGTCAGCGGACCCATATAAGCGAGGCAGAGCAGGATTCTCGCGATGACCACTGACGCAATACTGTTTTCATCTGCTGCAGTTTCAGTTTAAACTTTGTAAAGGCGATGATGTGTACAGTGTTAAATTTTACATTTAGCGGACATTTGCACTGAACGTGCGGTGAATGCAATGCATCGAGATTCAGGCCATTAAACAGCTGATCCCTTCTAAGTCTTTCAGCAGCACTCTCTCCAAAAAAATTCGGTTGAGCTTGGCTGGTAGTCATGTGCTGCTTCTTCCTCAGACTTCAGCCGTTTGCAGTTTCCCGTGGTCCCAAAAGCCCCCTGTCATCCCAACGAGGTGCGCCTGAAAAGCGTGAGCACGCTTGAAAATAACGAACCTGCACGAGCTTGCCTTAGTCATAGTTAATCTAGTGTGTGTGGTTATTAGTCTCAGTGTACATACTAGCTCACAGTTTGCATAAATGTTTAGTTGCAGCAGTTTTGTTCCATGCAGAAACACGATGTTGAGAAGCCTTTACGATGAATTAACCGTGACTAATTAAAGCGCAGTTAATAGTGAAACTGGTTAATCGTTGCATCCCTAAGCTTAACTGGAGACTGGCTCTGGTCAGGTCATTTGAATCTATTTGAATCAGTTAATAAATCATTGACCAGAGACACTGACTGGACCATTTAAATCAGTGTACTGTTAAGTGAAGATTTTATCTGGATTTGATCAATGATCTTGTAATGACTAATCTTGCCTAACTGTAGACTCTCTGATTTAATTTTTTGAATCAGTCAGTTGCTGAGTCAAAAAAACTTCATCGGTCCAATTCACAAATGTATTGTTGAATGTGTTGGTCTGACTGGATCATTTAAGTCAGTGAACTCTGAACTGGAGACTTGTTCTGAATAAATCATCTGAATCAAGGATTTTGTTAACTGGAGACTTGTTTGAGTAATCATTTAAATGAATAAATCATTGACTAGAGCCTGACTCTGTCTGGACCATTTGAATCAGTGTACTGTTAACTGGAGACTTACTTTGTCTGGATTTGATCTTGGTCAGGTCATTGGAGCCAATGAATCATAACATGGATGCTTGCTCTGTGCAAGTTATTGAAATAATTGAACTGTTAACTGGAGACTCGCTCTGATTTAATCTGTTGAATCAGTCAGTTGCTGACTTAAAAACAACTGCATTTGGTCCAATTCACATTTGTATTGTTCAGTGTGTTGGTCTGACTGGATCATCTGAATCAGCGAAATCTTAACTCGAGACTCGTTCTGACTAAATCATTTGAATCAGGGATTTTGTTAACTGGAGAGTTGTTTGATTATTTATTTAAATGATTAAATCATTCACTAGAGACTCACTCTGACTGGCTGGATCATTTGAATTGGAGACTCGCTCTGACTGGATCACTTGAATCAGTGTACTGCTAACTGGAGACTCACTCTGGTCAAGTTATTTGAATGAGTCATTACATGGATGCTTGCTCTGCAAATCATTTGAATAATTGAACTGTTAACTGGAGACTCGCTCTGGTTTAATCTTTGAATCAGTCAGTTGCTGACTCAAGAACAACTGCATTTGGTCCAATTCACAAATGAACCGTTCAGTGAGTTGGTCTGATGGTATCATCTAAATCAGTGAACAGGAGACTTATCCTGACTGGATATTTTAAAATAAACAAATTATTGACTAAAAATTCACTCTGACTGAATCATTAGAATCACTGAACTATAGTGACTGGAGATTAACTCTGACTGGATTTGGAGAATGATCTTGTAGCCTAACTGGAGCCTCTCTCTGGTTAGATCATTTGAATCAATGAATCATTACATGGATGCTTGCTCTGTGCAAATGATTGAATAATTGAACTGTAACCTGGAGACTCGCTCTGACTAAATCATTTGATTCAGTGAACTTAAGCAACTGGGGCCTCATGTACGAAGACTTGTGTGAAATCATTCTAAAACATTGCATACGCATAAAGCTGTAAAAGCTGTAAACGTACGCAGTGTTTCATACATCTGAATTTTTACTGCGTACGCAGAATCCCATGCATATTTTCTTTGTACATCCGAATGAATGTGAAACTGAGCGCACTTGCACGAACGCAAATCCCCTCCCTGCCTCCTCCCCCGTATGAATATGCTAATGACTCTACTTTGGCAAAACCCAACGAAAAAGCAATGGCAAAAGCAAGCAAAAAGAGAAACTTTGTAAAGAATGTGATTTGGAGGTGCTGATTTCGGGGGTAGATTGGAGAAAAACTGTGTTATTTTCAAGTTTGTCCTCCGGAATTAATAACAAAAGAAAAAAATAGAGTTGGAGAGTCTAGCTGATGCGGTTAACACAGTTGTGTCTGAACATTGCACTGAGTGGATTAAACAAAAAAATAGTGTGATGTAAAGGTGTAAAATATTGTAGTGTCCTTAACAGCGTGAGTGGTGTAGCTCATAAAACGCATGGCAACATGTTTTGACACATTCGAGCATGAACTCGGTTTGAATCCAGCGTCTTATGAGCTAATTCTTCTTTTTTCCCCCCCACTACATATCAGATTTTGGCTACTCTTCATCACGAGGAAGACAAGTAGGAATCATTAATAAGTGTGGGCATCATATATTATTTGCACATTTATTGAATGGAAATGTTTCTAATTCATGTATACAAATTCGTCTTTAGATGGCACCTTTATAGCAATGTGTGTGCAGTCGATTGCTCCAATTACATTGGAAAAACCGACGACCGCTGCAAATTTCGCTTTAATGTTTGGCTGGTCAACTGCATGGTATGGAAACCTTATATACCTGCTAGACATGCGGATGACCCTTTGCCGTACAGCTGCCATTACATGGCTTAAAGATACTTTGTAGTGTGCAATTTAACACAACTGCCTCTAGGAATTGCCAAAGGAAATATAACAAACACACACAGCACACAGGAAATGTGCGTCCGCCAGGCATGAAGTTGGCGTGGACCAACGCAAATTCTCACGTTCATTTCAACGTTAGTAAATCCAAACATGAGCGTGAAATCTGTCATACGCAAAGTTTTTGTGCGTATGCAGCGTTGATACATAAAGCCCCGGGTGACTTGCTGCGATTGGATTTGATCAATGGTCTTGTAGCCTAACTGGAGACTCACTCTGGTCAGGTCACTTGAGTCAATTAATCATTACATGGACGCTTGCTCTGCACAAATCATTAAATAATTGAACTGTTAACTGGAGACTCGCTCTGATTTAATCTTTTGAATCAGTCAGTGGCTGACTCAAGAACAACTGCATTTGGTCCTGTTCACAAATGTATCATACTTATTAGGGACACCAAATAATTTTACCACACCAAATATTTATTAATAATAATTTTACCATGCCAATAATTTTACCAATCCAAATCATTTTATTTTACACATAAATGTGGAAAAATTAATTCAAGCTGATTTCAAATTTTAGTAAAATGTTTTCTTTTACAAAAAGAATGGACTCAAAATAGGTACCACTGGCACAATAGCAATTTACAATACATGGAAAGCAGACAGTTAAATATCCTTGTTCTTTTGTTTGTTTGTTTTATCAGCTTGGCTGGAGGAGAGGGAAAGGAGTCAGAAGCAACTGAAGGGATGGAAATCGCAACACGATCAAAAGGTGAGAACTGTCTTTGATATGATAACCACCGGCGATGTGGTGGCGCAGTAAGTTGTGCTATCGCCTCACAGCAAGAAGGTTGCTGGTTCGAGCCTCGGCTGGGTCAGTTGACGTTTCTGTGTGGAGTTTGCATGTTCTCTTCGCGTTCGCGTGGGTTTCCTCCGGGTGCTCAGGTTTCCCCCACAGTCCAAAGACATGTAGTACAGGTGAATTGGGTTGGCTAAATTGTCTGTAGTGTTTCTCAGAGATGGGTTGCAGCTGGAAGGGCTTCCGCTGTGTAAAACATATGCTGGATAAGTTGGCAGTTCATTCTGCTGTGGTGACTCCAGATTAATAAAGGGATTAAGGTGAAAAGAAAATGAATGAATGATAACCACTATCGGGCTCTGCTTTAGCGATCTAGGTGCAAAGTCTAAAGCAAAAACATTAGCTGTGTGTCCGAATCCACTTTTGCTATTTTAAGGACATAAAAAACACTTTGTGCACTGGTGTCTAGTCTAACAGGGTTGTGCTTATTCTCTTAATGAGTTAAGGTTGTGTTTTGATCATCTCCCATTTTCTCTAAGAGTCAGTTGTGTTGGCCATGGCGCATTTATATGGCGGACTTTGTAAGGGGATAAACTGAATGCTTAACTAGCCAGAAAAGAGTTAAACACCATCTGCGTCAGGATAAACGAGCCTCCTTCATTCAGTCTTTTTACTTTCTCTTTACTTTACTTTACTTTTACTTTCATGGATACTTTTACATCCATTAGTCTACATTTTTAATTTTGTATGTTAAGCACAAAGATTTGTTCCAAAACTATTTCTAAATTCAGTTTTAATTTCCAGCAAAATAATAAATGAACAATAATAACGAGGTTTATTCAAACACACGTCTTATTCTTATCCACCATATGGTGATGCATATGTCTCCAAACCCGACAAGTGGACAGTCTAAATTTGTTTTTATTAATACAAATAAAAAATAGGCGTATAATAAATAATACTGCTAATGATAATAACATTATAAAAAAGCAATTTGTCATGAATAAACTGAAAAAAGCCCCCAGACCTGGGATGAAGAAGGCATGGAAGGCGTGTTTTTTATATTTATGTAGAAAATAATAATAATAATAATAATAATTTTATTACATTTTAATCTTTAATTTTTTTCCATATGTAAAGAAGTTTGTGTATTGCTGTCCATCCTGTGTGGTGTGTATTAAACAATGTGTAAGTGTTTGGACCTGCATAGGCGCATAGCTAACGCGCTGGACTTTAGACCAGCTTTTAGTTGGTCAATTGCACAGTCTATTTCAGTTCCTTAAAATAGCAACTCGCCATAAAGTGCAAATGGTTTTACTATTTAAACAACGTGGCACAAAGTGTTAAAACATCTTGTGCCTTATTGCGCCAGGAGTATGATAGGGCTAATTGTTTTTTTTTATATATTCAAGTATGAAAAGTGTACAGAAGCATTACTTGAACAGGTCATTTTCCATATTTGTTTAGGTTTCATGGTCAGACTTTATTCTGCAATTCTTTCATTCTTATTTTCAAAATTTATGGAGTATGATTTTAAGAACACACAATTTTAGTATTTCTGCTTATTATTGTTATTTACAGCAGATAAAATCTGCAGCTTTTTTTCTTATTTTATGTCTGTAATTTACATTGTTTGCTTTGCAGTTTCTGATCAAGGGTCAACAGAAAGGACAGTACCGAAGCGCAAGGTCTCCAGCCCTCCTCACTCCTCAAACGGACACTCTCCATCTGAATCCTCTCCCAGTCCTGTCAAAAAGAAGAAGAAACCAGGAGCCGTCAACAGCAGTAAAGACCAGGTGCAGCTTTTGCTCCTTTTACAAGCCCCTGTTCAGTCCCGCATTTGCTCATTCACTAATTTCAGTGTCTGTCTGTTTTCACTTTTGTCTGTTGTGTGGCTTCTTCATGGTGATACAGTGCAAGTATTCATCCTCATTACCTTTATCCTATAGATGTACTTTAGTTTTTTATTCTGTTTTAGCTGGAAATAGTTTGCACCTATTTGTCAAACTGAATTTTTGGACCCCACTAAATAAGAAACATCTTAGAAATAGTGAATTCTGAATAATAATGATCAGAATGTATTGTGTCTAGCGTAATATATAAGCTAGACAGATAAAATGGATGATATTTGACCACTTTAAAGGTATAATTCACCCCAAAATGAAAATTCTTCCATTATTTACTCACCATTTCCTTTTATTTAACCTGATTGATTTTTTTGAACACAACAGAAGATATTTTGAAGAATGTTGAAGACTGACTTGAATTCAATTTTCAAAATATCTACTTTTGTGTTCAAAAGCAAAAATAAACTCGTTATAGTTTGTATACACTTAGTGGTGAGTGAAGGTGCTTCTCAAATCGCATACTTATGCACTATGCTACGCCATTTTGTAGTATAAATAGTGCAAGTAGTGCGCTCACACTGAAACCTCAAAAAATGAAAAGTGCACTTTAAATACCCGCACTTATTCAGCTGTGAAAATAAATTGTGTAATGATGGACACTTCACGAACTCATCGACCGCAGCTTTGCTCATGTAGCGGAAGGGGCGGAGCTATCGGGTGCACATGTTGGATTACTTATTTATTTTGGATTGTGGAAGCAAAATTCTCCTACGAGAGTAACTATAGTGTCCTCTGATGGTGAATGCAGTTATACTCATGGCAGGTATTATTTGGTTCTTTGATCATTTATTTCACTAATTTGGCAACCGTCAAACATCATCTGGGAAATGGTTTGAATATTCGCTTAGTAAAAATCCTTTAGTGCTACATTTGGGATGACACTACATTCATATACTATGCTGTTGAGTGTGTTAGTGCATAAGTGCATAGTGTACCATATGAGACGCAGCTTTAATAATAAGTACATTTTCATTTTTGGGTGAACTATCCCTTTGAGATGTCTGCCCACTTGTGTAAATAATAACAAGGTCTCTGTTGTAAATTATCAAATTAATAATGTCTTCCTATTTAAAACCTCATGTTTATATTACTTAAAGAAATGCTATTATAAAGATATAAATATTTATATTGAATAATTTCTATGAAAGTGACTCTATAACAGTGAATTGTGCATAGGGAGCAAAATTTTATATAAAAACAAATAAATATTAAAACAATTGTAGCTCAATTTCATTCTTACTAAATTTTGAATACATTTATAAACTAAAATTTTAGACCTGTGTGGCCATTGCATCACCGACAGCAGTGATTCTCAACCACATTCCTGGAGGACCATCAACACTGCATGCTTTGGATGTCTCCATTGTCTGTCACACCCATTACAGGTCTTTCAGTCTCTGCTAATGAGAAAATGGAAAATTTGCAAAGTTATGGTCCTCCAGGAACATGTTTAAGAAACACTGACCAACAGTGTAGTCATAACCACATTTTTTTTTTCTTCTTCATTTTTTGTTGTTGTTGTTAAATAGACTGTTCACCCCAAAATAAAAATCCTGTCATCATTTAGTCACTCTCCACTTGTCACAAACATGATTAAATTTCTTCCTTCTATTGTTCTCAGTTTCTTTCTTGGAAGATATTGGAAATTGATAACTGTTGACATTTATAGTATTCGTTTTTCCTGCTGTCAATGGCTACTGGTTTCCAACATTCTTCAAACTATCTTCTATGTTTAACAGAACAAAAAAAGGAGAAAAAAACTCAAACTGACTAAATGATGACAGAATTATAATTTTTGGGTGTACCGTCCCTTTAAGGATCCGACACCATGAGCATTTTCTACTGATAAAACCTCTATGGCTGATTGCCAACAGTTTTTTCCCCGTGTGATCCAAACACTAAATATTTCACTCTCCATAAAAGTGTCATCTTTTGACAGAGCCATTAATTTTTACCAACAACCTCAGGTCTGCTCCCTTAGCTTTATGAGACCGATAATAAGCCCAACCAAACAAATGTAAGGCAGGTGGCTGCCATGCAAGCTAAGCAGAAAAGTGCATCCAGAGACCCGATATGATTCATGTCGATGCAGCTGCAATGAATTATCACACCTGATCTTGTTTCCCCCTCTAACGAAGATGCATTTACCTTTCATATTGCAGAGCGAAATGCCATTAATTCAGTGCTCATTTGTCTAAATTTGCCCTCTTCTGTTTTTCCACACCCTGATCGATCACCTTGGTGCCTGTTTTGTATTGTCTTGTAACCTATAATAGCAATGTTTTGAAACCCCGACCCTCTGTTTCTCTCGCCCGCATTCCAGTCAGAACTAAGACATGGTCCCTTTTACTATGTGAAGCAGCCCGCACTCACCACAGACCCTGTTGATGTTGTACCGCAGGACGGGCGGAATGACTTCTACTGCTGGGTGTGCCACCGCGAGGGCCAGGTGCTCTGCTGTGAGCTCTGCCCGCGCGTCTACCACGCCAAGTGCCTCAAACTGGCTGCAGAGCCTGAAGGAGACTGGTTCTGCCCTGAATGTGAGGTACTGCCTCACTTTGTGCTTGAACAGCGCATCATCACTCTGCAGATTGTTAAATTATTCTGCAGTATTTTAACACTCCTTAAATAAAGGTTTTAAATTAACGTTTTTGCTGTGATATCCTAGAAGACTCTACTGCTATATGGGTTCCTCAAAAAATCAATTGTTTAAAGCAATCTGAAGAAACTTTTTCCTCTATTAAGAATCTTTTATGGAATCTAAATGTTTATGGATGTTAAAGGCCCCATACAGAATCGCCAAATCTAAGTTCACCTAATTAATAGTACCCTTATTTTTTACATTTTTAAAGTTATTTCATATTAATACCATATAATAAAAGCAATAAATGTATATATACAGTGTATATGTATATTGTAAAAAAATCCTGGGTTCCACACAATTTCTTTACAAAGCAAAAGTTAACATCATTGTTTTTGATCTCACAAGGAAACCTAACTATTTTTTAGTTTTATCAGTTTAGTGGAGTTCACTCATTTGATGTATGATTTTAAAAAGGAGGCATGGCATCCAACCCCTTCCCTAAACCCAGCCATCATTGGGGGATTAGCAAATCTTACTAAAACTAGCCACTAAATCAACAAGTTATGAATTACTGTTAAATAACGTTGTTTTTACCAATTTAAGTGGATTGAACATACAAAAATTAAGTTGTACCAAAAACTCAAGAAGTGTGTTGATTCAGCTCATTTTAAATAAGTAATTTAAACAAGCAGCAATAAATACAGAATTGTTAAGTGTTAATATTTCATTTTTTATACAAAAACAGTATCAGTTTAATTTGGATACCCAGTTTGCATAATTGAACATATAACATTTCAGAAATCTTGATATAAAATTAAATAAAAAAAGAAACAATTCCAAATAATCTTCCATGGAAGTAGTTATATCTGTTAGTTAATTCATCCCTTTTTAATGCTTAGAATTTTTGAGGTTTTTTTGTACTAAAATGTCTTATTTTATGTCCTATATTAGGTTTTCGAAATGGTGTAGATAATAAAATGCTTCTGAAATTGATTTTCCAGCCTTTTTGACCTTAATGTTAAATGTTAATGTTAAAGAGATCACCCCTCCAAAAAACGACTCACTATTGATTAACTGTCAAGTAACTTTTTTCTGTTGAACACAAAAGATGACGAGTTTTGAAGAATGTAGTGAACTGATAAACATTGACTTTCATAAAACAAGTATGACAGTCAGTGAAAACCCGTTTTAAACATTTTTAAAAATATCTTCTATTGTGTTTAACAAAAAAATAAACTCAAAGAGCTTTGTGACAATGTATGCAAATTAACTCTTATGCAGTATGATTGATTGCGTATTATTTTTGCATGGGAAATGAATCATGCCCTTACTAAATAGTAAAATACTAAACATAAATAAAAGTCTAAAAGTTAGCAGTAATTAAATGCGCCTGCCTAATATCTGTATGTTTTTATAACTCCTTTTAAAAGATCTACACTTTTAAGCATCGCTATCCACACATCTGAATAAATGATAAATATGTGACTATAAAGTAAAGATAAAAGTGTCTCCTTAATGAATAAATGCCAAATATTTCCACTGAAATGAATCTTAATGCATCTCTCTTGTTTCTTGGCAGAAAATAACAGTTGCGGAGTGCATAGAGACTCAAAGTAAAGCTATGACGATGCTCACACTGGACCAGCTGTCGTTCCTGCTGAAGTTTGCTCTCCAGAAGATGAAGCAGCCTGGTGTAAGAGTCAACCATTCCATCATTCTTCTTACTTTAGCTGATACAATTTTCAGGCTACACTAGACACTCAGAATAAAAACAAATCAATTGCTTAAAAAAAAAATCCCAAAATTATACCAATGGCAAATTCAGACTTAAGGTTACTTTTATTGAACTAGTAAGATTTTTTTGACCAGAAGTGACACAGGCTTCCCCCAAACAATATTAAGACGATGTACAAGAGGCATAGTTGTGGGGGGAAAATGTTTTGATTGTGAAATTTATTTGATTTTAAGATTAGGAAATAGAATTTTTTTCATAATGTTATAATAATCATATATAAATATTAAACAGTTTCAAGTACAAAAATAACTTATAAAAGTTAAATAATATTTATAATTAGAAGAAAAATTATAAAAAATTATAATATTAATTTTAATTATAATGTTTATAAAATTCAAATAAAATTATAAAGTAGAAGATAAATAATCAAAGATAAAAAAAGCTTAAAGTAAATGAATAAACAAACAAACAAATACACAAATAAATAAAAAATAAATAAATAAATAAATGGATTAAAATAAAAATAAATAAATGTATTAAAATAAATGAATGAATTCAAATAAATAAATTTTAAAAATTTAAATCTCGCCTGACATGTGGCTTCTATTCACTTTTACTATAAGGAAAAGAACAGCTTTGGCATTCTGCTAAACATCTTTTTTTCCCGGATTATTGAAAGACAAGTAAATGATTTGAGACTATGGGCGAGCAATTACCTTAATAAATAGAATATCTTTCTTTTTTCAGACGGAGCCATTTCAGAAGCCGGTGTCGTTAGAACAGCATCCAGACTATGCAGAGTATATATTTCACGCCATGGATATCTGCACTTTAGAAAAGGTGAAAAATTATCCTACAAAACCATTTAAATGCTTTTTATGAATGTGTTTCATTATCATGTTCAATTTTTGCTTTCATTCAGAATATTAAAAAGAAAATGTACGGCTCCACTGAGGCTTTTCTGGCTGATGTGAAGTGGATTTTGCACAACTGTATCATTTATAACGGAGGTTGGTTAGCATTAAAGCCAGATTTGTTTCTGATGAGAGTTTGTTTTCTTAAGGCTATATCTGTTTTCTTCTGTTTTTCTCTTAGGGAACCATAAGCTTACAGCAACGGCTAAAGTTATTGTAAAAATCTGCGAACATGAAGTATGTATGGTAAATTCTGAGGCAAAATATAACCAAAGTTTGATCAGTTTCATTGTTTTAAACCTCAGTTATCTTTCAGATGAATGAGATCGAGGTCTGTCCCGAGTGTTATCTCTCTGCCTGCCAGAAAAGGGACAACTGGTTTTGTGAACCATGTGTGAGTGTCTTGCACTAGAACAAATGAATTTCCTGCTCCTCTTGGTCAGCAGTGTGAGTTAATCGTCTGTTTGTGAAATGTTTGTGTGCTTCAGAGTAACCCTCATCCTCTGGTTTGGGCCAAGCTGAAGGGATTCCCGTTCTGGCCTGCCAAAGCTCTTCGTGACAAAGACGGACAAGTGGACGCACGTTTTTTTGGGCAGCATGACAGGTGAACAAATGTTGATTCATTGTATTACATTTTTAAATAAAGACTAAATTCATACTTTTGAATTAAACTAAATGATTTTTCTGCTTTCTTTTTCTGTTTACCTTATGTAACGTGTCCTTGGGTGTGTGTGGAAGGCACTAGATAAACACAAAATAATGATAATAATAATACAAAGAACAGTGCAAAGACATGTGCTGTAGGTGAATGAAATAAGACAAAAAATTGTCTGTTGTGTATAGCCGCTTTTCCACTATCGTGCTGAATCGTTCTTTAAACAGAACTGTTCCATTCCGTGCCAAACCGGGCCAGACAGCACGGATACGGTTTCATTTTCCACTGTCGTGCTGCGACAAAGCTCTTTAAAACATTACACAAAACGCATCAGTAGTTGCCTTGGTAACGCAATGTAAACGGCTCCCTTTGTTCAATTAAAGTTAAATAAGAGCCGAAACTATTTATTTATTTATTTTTCAAAAAAGCAAAAGCATGTGACTAAAAACTGTTATGCCGCTCTATCAAATAGGGGTGCTAAATGTGCACCCTTATTTATTTATATGTTGCGCAGCTCTGGCTAAATTTTATTTGGAGGGAAAATTACCAAAATGTAACGTGATGATTAAAAATAATTGGAGGGGAAATAAATAATATTTAAAATCTCTGAACATAACAGAAAAATAAACAATGATAAGACAACAATAATAGTGCATTTGCATTATAGTGGCAGAAATATAATTTTGGACAGGCCTTGTCAAAGGTGAGCGGGCACTTTCACTAATAAAAACACAGCACATAAATTATTTCATTTTTAACAATTAATTAAATTACACTGCGTATTTATATCAAAAGTTGATAATGATATAAAATATACTACATTTTGATGGTAAAATGAAACCATTTAAGCGATGGCTGTTATTTGTTTTACTATTCAAACATTAAATAACGAATGCAGCAAGTGAAAAAAACGAATATGAAACAACACATATATTGCAGGATTTAAAGCATATAAAGCACTAAAATGCTGCTTTATTATCTTTTTATTTTGATCATTTTATTTTTATTTTTATAATTATTTTTGTGTTCATATTTAACTAACAAGCTGTAGGCGAAATATTGCTAGACGTTTTAGAAAATATTTGCGTAGCTATATTAAAGATCACCACAAAAAAAAAAAAACACAGAAACATGTTACATGCCTCATAAATGTCATATACAGTTGAAGTCAGAATTATTAGCCCCCTTTTGATTTTGATTTTCTTTTTTAAATATTTCCCAAATTATGTTTAACAGAGCAATTACATTTTTACAGTATGTCTGATAATATTTGTTCTTCTGGAGAAAGTCTTATTTGTTTTATTTCGGCTAGAATAAAAGTAGTTATTAATTTTTTTTAAAACATTTTTGGGACAAAATTATTAGCCCCTTTAAGCTAATTCTTTTTTGGATAGTCTACAAAACAAACCATCATCATACAATAATTTGACTAATTACCTTAACCTGCCTAGTGCACCTTATTACCCTAGTTGAGCCTTTAAATGTCACTTAAAGCTGTATAGAAGTGTCTTGAAAATTTTCAAGTAAAATATTATTTACTGTCATCATGACAAAGACAAAATAAATCTGTTATTAGAAATAAGTTTTAAAAACTATTATGCTTAGAAATGTGCTGAAACAATCCTCCCTCCATTGAACAGAAATTGGGGAAAAAAATAAACAGGGGCGCTAATAATACAGGGGGCTAATAATTCTGACTTCAACTGTAACTTATGTATAACTGAATCATATAATTGCCTATAGCTGAAATTATGAAAATTGCTCATTTTATTTTTATAAAACATTTGTCAAAACGTATTGATATTTTTTGAGTAAAAGCAATACTGACATTTAAGAATCCATATTTATTTAATTCATTCATTCTTTTGACTTGTTTATTAGTGCATATGCTATAATATAAATCATACAACAGTACCTTGGACAGTTACAGTGCCGCTCCGTAAAGCTTTTAAGCAAAGTCTTTTGGACGGCCGACATTACAACACGAACACGCCATCCTTCCGGTGGTCTTGCCGGTATTAACAAGCTGTCCTGGCTTTGAATTAAAAAGTGCAATTATTTCCTCGTTGTTAAAAGAGTCTGCAAGTTCGTGTTCCATGGATATAGTGATGTTGTTGTGGAATTTGGACATCGACGATGCAAAGCGTGACTTTATTCGCTTTATTCGATGCGCAGCAGGAAAAAAAAGTCAGCAGCGCAAGTCGCTGGCATGTCTCTCCCGGATCAGAGCGAGTTTTGTGCTGTGGAATACAGCGCTGCGTGCAATAAACTCACATTCAGGCAGGCGAAGTAGGTCTGTATTCAAGTCAATAAAATAATAACTTTAATGAATAAAATATCTTCGTAAGAATGTGATGAGTTATTCACTTCTCTGCCAGAGACTGCTCTATGGTTTTAAAACCCTTTTCAAACTGTATCGTTTAGACCTGGATCATTATTTTATATTAAATGTACTGTAGTTTATTGAGGATGTCTGATGACTAGCGCGCTTCTGCTGAGCCAGCTGTGGTAGCTTAGCAACCAAGTCGCGACGTCAACACACAGAATCTGTCAGCACAGTTCAGCACGGTTGTCTAACCGTGCCGAGAATTCCGGGCCGAGAACGGTTTGTAATCGTGCCGCGCCGTTCCAGGCTCAGTGGAGAAACAACCGTAACCGTACCGAAGTGTTCTTAGAACGGTTTGGCACGATAGTGGAAAAGCAGCTTATGTGTGTTTCCCAGTGATGGGTTGCAGCTGGAAGGGCATTCACTGCGTAAAATATGTGCTGGATAAATTTGGCATTTCATTCTGCTGAGGGGACCCCTGATAAATAAGCCGAAAAGAAAATGAATAAATGAATGAAATTATTAATTCGGGACAATGTAGTTTCTGTTGAGTTTTGTTCTACATATTATTGTTTGTTTATTTACACACTTTTTACATTTATTTTAATATAATGTTTGTTCATTTGATCTTTTTGTATGTATTTGTTTTAATAAATGTTTTTTATTTGTTTATTTAAATTATGTTTAAATATTTATAAAAGATATATTATTTTTATTTATTTATTATTCTAAATCTTATCTTTCAATAAACTTACAGGTTATTTATTTACTAGAATTAAGTCTAAAGCTGTTATTGTTAGCTAAAAGCAACTAAAATTCAACTAAAAACATTTTCTGAAAATAAATAAAGTTTATTATAAAGTAACTTTATTTCAGCTACTTTCCAATAAATATTAGTCTAAATCAAATAATATTGCCAGTGGTGTATTGGTTAGTGTGTCGACACATGCACTCATGCACTCACGATGACCCAAGTTTGATTCCCACCTCGCGGTGCTATGCCAATCCTTCCCTTCTCTTTGCTCCCTATGCTTTCCTGTCAATACTCTATACTGTCATATACAACAAAGGTAAAAACCATGAAAAAAATAATTATAATTAATATTTAATTGGAGACATGGTAGTTCAGTGGCTAGCACTGTTGCCTCACAGCAAGAAGGTTGCTGGTTCGAGTCCTGGCTGGACCAGTTGGCATTTCTGTGTGGAGTTTGCATGTTCTCCCTGTGTTGGTGTGGGTTTCCTCAGGGTGCTCCGATTTTCCCCAAAGTCCAAAGACATGCGGCATAGGTGAATCAATTAAACTAAATTTGCCATAGTGTATGTGTGTGTATAGATATTTCCCAGTACTGGGTTGCAGCTGGAAGGGCATCCGCTGTGGAGAACATATGCTGGATAAGTTGGCAGGTCATTCTGCTGTGGCAATGTCGAAGGAAAAAGAATGAAAATAATAATTAAAAACAAATACAAAAAAAAACATAAAAAAAACATTTAAACATTTAACAAACAAAAACATTTAGGGCTCTATTTTGACGGTTCATGCGCAAAATGCAGGGCGCAAACACTTTCAGAGCGTGTCAGAATGCATTTTTACTAATATAAGGACAGAAAAATTGGCTTTGCGCCGTGGCGCATGGTCTAAAAGTGTTGAGTTCATTTTCTTAATGAGTTATAGGTGTGTTTTGAGAATAAACCAATCAGAGTCTCATCTCCCATTCCCTTTAAGAGCCAGTTGCGTCGCGCCATAATCGCATTTGCTATTTACATGACATAAAGTAAGTGTAAGTGGAAAAACTGAGCATTTCATTAGCAAGAAAACAGCTAAACAATGCAAGAATGAGAGATAAGCCCTCTCAACAGTTAAACAGCGCATCTATCGCAGGAGAATGAGAGATAAATGATCTACTTTCACTTTCGCTCTTGTGGATAGGGAAACCTTTACGCACAGACATCAATTTGCCTATCAATAATTAATTTCGTTTGTTAAGGGCAAAGATTTGTTTCAAAACTATTTCTGAATTTAGTTCTAATTTGCAGCAAACGAATAAATGAACAATAATAACAAAGTGTGTTCAAAAACCTGAGTTATATCCTAAAACGCATGCTACAGCCCATATGGTCTAAAACCTGCAGGTGGGCAAATCTAAGCTTGTTTTTAGTAAAACAAATATAAATATGGATTTAATAAATAATACTGCTAATAATAATAACATTATACAAAAGCAAATTGTTATGAATGAACTGAAAAACCCTTCGGAGAAGGCATAAAAGCAGTGGTTTTTCATATTTATGTAGGCAAGAAAATAATATGTTTTGTAATAATTTAATTCTTTATATTTATATCCTATATATATTCTTATTATATCCTTTATATATCCTTAATATTTAAATTTTTTTCATATGTAAAGATATTTGCATATTGCTCTACATCTTGTGTGTATTAAGCAGTGTGTAAGCTAAGCGCAACTCTGTGCTGGAGTTTAGACCGGGTTTGTTTTGGTCTGTTGAAAAATCTATTATAGTTTCTCAAAATAGCAACACGCCAGCAATGCGCCTCAGAATGCCTTCCTTTTTAGACCAGAACGCCTATGAGCGCGCATATAAGCACAAATGCATTTGCTATTTAAACAGTGTGGCGCAACGTCTCAAAACGACTCTTGCGCCAAGCTGAAACTAGCAAAAAACTATTGGGTCACTCCATGCGCCACATCCGCTTGTTAAGAGGTGACATGTTTGTGGCGGATGTAATACTGTTTCCGGGTCCAAGCTGCCATTCATTTGAGTGGAGAAATCATTCGTTTATGATCATGTTTTATTCCTATCACACATTAAAGTTAATTTTACATGAAGTCATAGTGTACACAACAATCTCTGGGCTTGCTGCATAACAAATACCAAAAATTTTAAATTTATAAAAAATCACTTTCTGGCCATCGGATATTAGGCATGGATATATACTGCCATAGTGATTTTCGAAAGCCTTAAATCGCTTTGTAAACGTTTATTATTGCCATTTCATAAGTCTCCCCATTCAGTTTAATAGAGCGCTTGGACCCAGAAGCCGCTTCGCGTGATGTCACACTTAACAAGCGGATTGCGCCGGGTGTATAATAGGGCCCTTAGTCTGTAGCCTTATTTTCACCCAAAATAACTTCACTGAGTTTCTTTGCACACAGATTTGACCAATAAAATATATCAGTAATCATCAATTTGTTAAGTAGTTGTTTCAGCCATTGATTGTTGTTGGCTAAGACTAAAATCCTGCTGCATTTCAATGTAGAAGAAGCAAAAATATGTTTTATTTTATTCTACCCATGTACTGTTTTAAAAAACAGGGCCTGGGTTCCTATTAACAACTGCTACCTCATGTCCAAAGAGATCCCATTCTCTGTGAAGAAGACCAAGAGCATCTTCAACAGTGCCATGCAAGAGATGGAGGTGTACGTAGAAAACATTCGCAAAAAATTTGGAGTCTTTAATTATGCACCATTTCGCACGCCCTACACACCAGACAACCAGTTCCAGATGCTCCTGGACCCGGCGAACCCCAGCGCAGGCTCCGTCAAACCTGAAAAACAGGAAAAGATCAAGTTCAACTTTGATGTAACTGCATCTCCGAAGCTGCTTGTGGGAAAAAGCATGGTGTCCAGTGGGAGTGGGACAGGAAGACGAATCTCGATGACAGACATGCCGCGTTCACCTATGAGTACAAACTCTTCAGCGCATACTGGATCTGATGGAGAACAGGAGACGGCGGAGAAAGGTCACGCTAAAGCGGCTCTGCCCCATTACAGCACTGGGGAAGAGTCTCAGGATTGCACTGGTACATACAGCATTAAAATGTCCTAAAACATACACTGAACATCTAAATTAGAGAGTGGGCATTAAATCCAGCGAGCACCTTTATGTCAAATCTTGATATCCACAAATTGATGCCCTATTTAACCACTAATAAAAGAACACAAAATGTATTATAATATAAGAACGGCTTTATTCATCTGAAAGTTTTTATTTCAAAATTACACTAAATTTTGTATCCCTACAATGCACGTAAACTACCTTGATGTCAAAAATACATCAGTTTGAGATTTAACATTGGTGCAAAACATATATCGAAACTGGATTAGAGGACTGTCCTGGAGTTCATTTTTTAATAAGTTTTTGACCTCAGTGTTAAATGTCAAACTGATGTCGTTTTGACATCAAGGTAGGCAAGTTTCTTTAGCTTGTTTTTATTTATGTCGTTTTGCTGGGGATTTTTTCTGGAAATAATTCAATCTTTGTCAACAATTGTACGTCAATTTTGCAGAAACAAACAAACAAACAAATTCATCTTTAGAATGCCCTGTTTGAAAGTCCCTAAGAATTAAGCTTTGAGACCAAAAATATCCATTATTGGATTTGTGTTTTAGAATTATCACAGTTTAGTGACAGAGTTTAGTAATATCACATAAACAAGAAAGTTGTTTTTCAGCATGAGCTTAACCGTAAAAACAAATTGCTGTTGCTTTTTAGTTTTGCTAATGGAAATAATTCTAAACAAAGGCACAGCATCTGATAGTGTCACAGTTGTGTTTTGTTCCTGATATCATGTTTATGAATGAATCATTTGAATTGGTTATGCAGTGTTTCATCTTGAAGGGTTTATCAAAAAATCTTAATTACGTTATTAATTATTACCATCATACCGTTCCAACCCCCTAAGACTTTTATTCATCTTCAGAACACAATTTGAGTTATTCTAGATGAAATCCGAGAGCACCCTTATCCTTTTTAGACAGGAATGGTCCAGAGATGTTTGAGTTCAGAAAAGGAGCCAAAATCAATGTCAAAACATTCCATGTGACTTCAGTGGATCAACTGTAGTCATACTGAGCTACAAAGCTCCAAGAACACTGTTATGTGCCAAAAAACACTTTGTTTGCCAATGTCTTCCGTATCAAATCAGGGTGCATGGTAACAATGATCAATACGATGCTTACTGTTTTGCCCTGCTGACTCTAATGGCACTACATCGTATTGGCCATAGTAAACATGCATGCTCATGACCTGATGCAGGAGAAAAGATATAGGCGAACACAGTCACATTAACAGTGCACAAAAGTGTTTTTGGAGTTTCATATGATTATAGCTGAAGCACTGAATCACACGGAATGTTTTGACAATGTTTTCGTTTTTTTTTTATGTACTTTATTCCCTGTGCAAATAATCATGGGGGTCAGCAGTTGTACCCAGTTGTACCCTTCATTTTCTTTTTGATTCCATTCCGAAATATCTTTCAGAGGGTTATTTACTTGGAATTTACTATGCACAGTGAATGCAAGTCTCTGTTGTAATATCACAGTCACATTACATTGTGGGACATTTAGGTGATAGACTCTGCATATGAAGCAGAATTGATCCCTTGGCTAAAATCGAGGGTTGAGAGTCTCTCCATGTGAACATCCCTAGTCTACTTGATGATGTGGAATGCTTTTTAAAACAGCAGCAGAGATTCCCTTAAGGGAAAGTGCCTAGGGAAGTTTGCATGTGAAAGCATGTCTAAAAGTGAAGTGAAATGCAGCCTTCATATTATCCATAACAGGCCTAAACCAGCCAAAGTACAAGGACAAAAAACACTGAAATCATCATCAAAACAGTATTGCACACCCCTATCTGCCACTTATTTTTATGCACAATTTATGCACAACTTAAGTTTTAGACTTCAATGGAATAATGGTTTTTAAATAGTGAAATGTATTATTAAAAGTGAATTTCTGCTCTTTCAGCATCACCTGCTTCTTCTAGAGCAGGAAGCACTTTAGAGAGTCCTAAACCATTTCACTCGCCTGCTCCCAACACCCCTGTTAAACAAGAGAAAACCCCAACCACCGGCAGCATACTCAACCTTAACCTTGGTAAGCTTCGTTCTGTTGATCAATCTGTAATCTAATTATAGCCTGTTTTATTTTCTACTCTACAGTACAGAGGTGTGGGGTCCTTGATGATTCATAAGTCAACAGCTGCTCAAGAAAAAAATATCCATATTGTTAAATATTCTTCAGAATATCTTGTTTTGTGTTCAACAGGAAAAAGAAATTCATAAGTTAATGGAGAGAAAATGTTTGTTTTAGTGAACTATCAACTATTAATTTATTAGATCTATGTTTAATATATTGTAGATTTTTTTAAAAAGAAATCTGACCCCTTACCACAAACTGTTAAATATTGTTTATTTGTTAAATGATTTTTACAAAATGACATTCCTTAAGAAGCCTTTTTGAATAATGTTGGATCTAATAAGAGCTGTACCTGAAGAATGGATCTAAAACCATCTAAAAACTCATCTAAAATTAATATGTTTGAATGTGCTCATAACAGAGCCTTGTGATCTCTCTCAGATCGTAGTAAGGCGGAGATGGACTTGAAGGAGCTAAGTGAAAGTGTCCAGCAGCAGCAGGGGGCTCAGCCCTCCCTCACCTCCCCAAAGAGACAGATCAGAAGCCGCTTCCAGCTCAACCTGGACAAAACCATAGAGAGCTGCAAAGCACAGCTCGGTGAGTTCAGATCAAATCTTTTAAAGCTGTGTCATTAAAAACACATCAGCCTTTTCCACATTGAAAAAGGGCATAATATTGCAGTGCAACAGCTTTCAGCGTTTACTTGGTATTGGTGCCATTGACCTTTCATGTAGTGTGTAATATAGCTGTTTGTGAATCTGAAAGGTTTGTAAGGTATTAAAGATCAAGATCAACATTTGTCTCTAAAATTACAGGAGACTGGAGGTGAGGGGGCTCAGGGGGGTCTGAATAACTGGGTTAAAAGCTGGGTTGTGGTGTTAGTAACTGTAATATGGACCAGATTTCGGTCGGCCGCTGCGATAGGATACTTTACCAAAGTTAGCGACCCGGGCGAGGGTGTTACAGACTGTACCAAAAAGCTGAGTTTCAGGGGCGGGGTGAAGTTATGGGTATTTTCTGGGAGAAATAACAAAACAGGAGGGTAGATGGGTTTGAAATACGGAAGACCCCCATGAAAAACAGGAGTGTTGGCAGGTATGCCATATGGGTGATCTGACCAATCAGAGCACAGTAGCATCACTAAAAGGCAGGGTATAGAAAGACTGGATGCTTTAACAAACCATTTCAGACATTGTCATAAAAGAGACTGAAAAGCCAGTGTGTTTTTACCCAATGATGGATATAAACACATTGTTTGAGAGACTAAAACAAATTAGCAATCTTTAAAACAACTGTTAATGATTTTTGTAAATCACACCGTATTTAACTATAATAGTAACTATATCAAACTATATTTAAAATAACATAACTGTATTTTACTATAGAACAGGTATGCAGTATGTTACTGTATTTTAGTTTAAGTTGCATTGTGAAAATCAGAATCAGAAAGAGCTTTATTGCCAGGTATGTTCGCACATACGAGGAATTAGTTTTTTGTGACAGAGCTTCTACAGTGCAACAGAATTACAGAGACAGGACAATAAACAGATAATAAATATATAAAAAGGCAGTAAGTAGTGAATGCAAATATACAAATAGACAAGTGTTTGTAGATTTTACTGTATATGTATATGTACAGTATGTAGAATTACTGTATATTTTATAGTAAAGGTATACTGTTGTAATGAGTAAAAAGCCAGTTGATCCATCTGCAAAGCTTTATTAATGTTACAGATGACAGTAAACAGAAAACAGAATGGCAATCCAAAAGAAGGGTGATAAACAGGCGAGGTTCAGGGCAGGAAGAACAATTACAGGTGATATAACAAGCAAATGGGTCAAAGCATGGGTAAGAAAAACCTCTATGAAAAAACGCTCGGTAATAACTGCTGTGCAAATCAAGACTTCGCACTGAACTGTTCAGAAACTTGGGCTTATATGCGTGAGCATCAATTGGATACACCTGCTATCGCAAACGGTGCCAGGCAGAGAGGCTTTTGGGAATATGGAGTACTGGTTAGAATTCGTGTGATAGTTCCCTCTGGTTGTGCGCAAGGGAAGAGAGCTGAGCTTCACTTACAACATGTACATACAATTCTATAAATACATAAACCGCAAGATAAATGGTGCTGTAAATGTAAATACAGTATTTTTGCTGTAATTGATTTACAGTAAGTTACTAGTGACCTGCTGCCAGTAGATTCTGTAGATTCTAGGTAGTTGTTAACAGTGTATATATATCACTTTTAATGTTATTTTAAGTAAAAAAATTCAGTCAGCATTTCTATTCATTAGTTTTTGACATGAAACTTGAACTTGAAAGTTCAATATTTGCTCTGTCTCACAGGCATAGATGAAATATCTGAGGACGTGTATAAAGGTGTAGAGCACAGCGATTCAGAAGAATCTGACAAGTCTGACTCCAGCGATAGTGAATATGGCAGCGAAGATGAACAGAAATCTAAGAATGGCCAGAATAACAAAACCACTGCTGAGGATAAAAAGGAGAAAGAGCCACCCAAGAAAAAGTCAAAACCATCAGCAGCTGCTGGTGAGGACAAAGACACCAGCAAAGAGTCTAGTGCAACGGCCAGTACAAAGGCCAAAGCAGAAACTGGTCAAAAAACAAGCACCCCTGACCTGATAGCTAAAGACAAATCAGGTATGGACTCGGAGAAAGAGCCTCCTGAGAAACTGAAAGCAGCTCCCGCATCCCCAGATGCCAGAGAAAAAGGCAAGAGCTCTGAAGAGGCCAGTCAGCCCGCATCGGTGGATGTAGACATGGACTCAGACTCTGAGAGGGAGCTGGTCATTGATCTGGGAGAAGAACAGGCAGGGAAGGAGAGGAAGAGGAGCAGGAAAGATTCAGCCGCTGTCACCGCACTCAAAGAACCAACAGCCTCCAAATCTGAAGGTAGGATTTACAGCACTAAATAATACTGTGTGACAGAAGTTGGTTGATTGGTGTCTTGTTTAGTTTCTTTGTCATTTTTTCTGTTTAGTTTATTGGTCATGGTTGTCATTGTCTCGTCCTTTTGCAATTGTTACTATGGTTTCTATTAAATTGAGCATGTTTGTTTTGGGCCACTGTTTACTAAATTTGTAGGAACCATATTAAAATATTAATATATACCAGAGTATTACCACAAATACCATGGTTTGAATTTGTATTTACCATGCAATGGTGTCTTAACTATTTTTTTTTTTGTAAATCAATGGTTATTTTGTGTGATGTGTTGCTAATTTTCAGTCTTTATAAAAGACTACTTTTGAAACTACTTTTCAAAACATTTCTTGGATCAAGTGTTTTTGTCACATTTGTTTTTAAATGCAAGTAGTGCACTTAACTCGATGAATGCATGATTGAATGAGAAGGAAACTAAATACACATTTAATACACATGTACACAAATACACAAATTCACATGAGTTGCCCGTGGGCCTGTTCTAAAAATAGCTCACCATAGCACCACATATGAGTAGGTTGCATCTAATATTTTTATAGGTATTCTTTTTAAATCACACTTGCATTGGTGTAAATTTGAAAATTACTTTAAGTTATATATTAAAAAAACTTTAAAAACAATTTCAGACAAATTAAGTGTTGCATATAGATATTTATCTAACTTATTAAATCATTGTTGACAACTACTGTGAGAAATCATTAACATGATCAATGGCTTTACATAGATGAATACTATTAATTATTAATAATAACATATGATTCCCAGAGATGGGTTGCGGCTGGAAGGGCATCCGCTGCGTAAAAACTTGCTGGATAAGTTGGCGGTTCATTCTGCTGTGGCGACCCCGGATTAATAAAAAGGGACTAAGCCGACAAGAAAATGATGATGATGATGAATAATAACATATAATTAAAAGTAAATTAAGAAAAATGTGTTATATAATAACTGGTAGCCCTTCACAATAATCGGTACCCAAGAAGTAGCTCTCAGTTTCCAAAAGGTTGGTGACCCCTGGTCTATTTATATACAACAAATGTGAACGTTATTAAAATATGGCTCTGGGGCAAACCGGATGTTAGATCACGTGGCTCGCTCTCTTGTTCATCTGGCGCCATCTAGCATCTCAGCCCTGCACTGTAGTGAGAATCACCTTAGAGGTCAGTATTAATATAACTATCGTTCACTGGTCGTCGTCTTTTTGACCAGCCGATTGTTTTGTTCGTTGTTGAAGTCTTTTTTGTACCGAGAATTTTGAGGTAATTTAGTAACAGGTAAAATAATAAAACCATTAAGATTACAGTCGATAATTAATGTCTACTGGTGTGTGTATTTGCGAGGTAGGCACGCTAACGTTATAACTAAATGCAGTATCGAGTAAACGATAATGTGTAGTAACTTTACCTTAGACATCAAGTCTATTTAGCTTTATTTCTTTATTGATATTTTGAACTATGCTACAAGTGAAATGGGCATGCCCAACTCTGCTGGACAAAGAAATTAATCGAAGTTTTATTGCAAAATCTAACGTTATTCTGATTAAAAATGATTGTTTGATTAAAAATGAAATTGTTTTGACATGACTTTAGTAAGCCTTTTCATTGTCTTTTATAAGTTAGGGTTTTCTATTTGTAGTTATTTACTACATCACATTGAACTGAAATAAGTGTCCAAAGACACAGTCCAAAGACATGCGGTAAGTTACAGGTGAATTGGGTAGGCTAAATTGTCCGTAGTGTGTGTGTGTGAATGTTTCCCAGAGATGGGTTGCGGCTGGAAGTTGGCGGTTTATTCCGCTGTGGCGACCCCGGATTAATAAAGGGACTAAGCCACAAGATAATGAATGAATGAATGACTTTGCAATTATCTTAAATTAAATGTTTATTTATGTCAGTGTTTATTCAACAATTAAAACAAATTTTGGGTTTTAGTAAATAACCTTGATTTTTTTTTTTTTTGGATGTAGGTAAAACAACGCCAATTACAAGTTCTCTCACCCAGCCTCAGAACACAGTCCTTTCCTCCTCTCCAACTATGAAAGACCCATCTCAATCCCCCATGGCCGTCCCCCTTAACATAATCCCCCTCACCGGAGCTGCGAGCAGCACCAGTCTGACCTCCTCCACTCTGCCCATAAGCACAGCCTCCACCGCCAGCAGCTCCTCGCCCATCAACACCAGCACAGTGAAGAAACAGCGGCCCTTACTGCCCAGGGAAACCGTACCTGTGGTGCAGCAGGCCGTCGTCTGGAACCCCTCCACTAAATTTCAGACGTCCAGTCAGAAGTGGCACATGCAGAAGGTGCAGAGACAGCAGCAGGGCCAAACACAGCCGGCCACACAGGCCCAGGTGTTGACGCAGGTGGAGCGCAACCAGCAGCCCCAACAGCAGGCACAGGTCTCCTCTTCCTCATCTGGACAGCAGGCTTCGTCCAGCACCAGATACCAAACACGACAGTCTATGAAAGGTGTGCAGTTATAGTAGATATGAAGACCATTTATATTGTTACATTAAATTGTATTTTAAGTAAACATTGTCTATAAAATCTTTAAAAAATAAAGGTTTCTATAAAAATATTATTGGCAATTTAATATAAAATACGAATAGCAGTTTTAATCATCATATTATAATGACTGCATTCAGTTATTGCATTCAGTTATTTTTAACTGTAACAGAACTTCACAATAAACTTCACAATTTATACATTTTTCTAAAAACATTTTTTAAAATACTTTTTTCTTGCATTAGATGACATCATACAATAGCATGAACTAACAAGGATTTCTAACTAGCATTTCATAATCTTAGTCTTGTTAGCATTTACAGACACATTGTTATGCAATAACAAACAATTCAGTTTAATTCATCTTTATTTCTCTTTTACAATGTAGATTGTGTCACAGCAGCTTAACATAGAAGTTCTAGTAAATTAAAAACTGGGTCAGTCCAGTATTCAGAATTGAAGTTGAGTTTAGTTCATTTCAGTTTAGTTTTGAAAGTCCAAACACTGAAGAGCAAATCTACCAATGCGCAGCTCCACAAGTCCCAAATAACATGAACATTAGTTAACATTAACTAAGATTAAGAAATATATAATTGACATTAACTTTCTTACTTTCCACCCACTGAGGCTAGTTTTTTCAAAGTACCAATTTATTGTTAGGAAATTATATGTAATGTGCTGTAATATTCTATGATTAAAGTCATCCAGTGAATTATATAAATTAATCATTACTAATGTAACAGGGGCGACATGGTGGCGCAGTGGGTAGCACTGTGGCCTCACAGCAAAAAGGTCGCTAGTTCGAGCCCTGGCTGGGTCAGTTGCCGTTTCTGTGTGGAGTTTGCATGTTCACCCCTTGTTTGCGTGGGTTTCCCCTGGGTGCTTCGGTTTTCCCCACAGTCCAAAGACATGAGCTATAGGTGAATTGAATAAGCTAAATTGCCTGTAGTGTATATGTGGGTGTAAATACAAGAGTGTATGGGTGTTTCCCTGTTCTGGGTTGCAGCTGTATGGGCATGCTATGCATAAAAAAACATACGCTGAATAAGTTGGCGGTTCATCCCGCTGTAGCGACCCCTGATTAATAAAGGGATTAAGCCGAAAAGAAAATGAATGAATATTGTAACAATCTATTTTGAAAGCTAATGCACAGACCCTGTAGACTCCTACAATACATGTGTGTTTTTTTCTGAACTTTTAAATGTTTAATTATGGTATAACCTATGCTCACATACAAACCTGCCAAGACAGGTTTTTTGACAAAGTTTTGATTGTGTTTGCCTGTCCATGACCTAAAAAGACACAAAAGAAAAAATAATTCCACACTATCTGAGCCTTTTTGTGTTTTGCCAGAAAATAGCACACAAGTATCAAATTAAGTTCTTTGTTGGTTTTTCTCAAGCGTGAGTGGTTTAAAACGTAGATCAGTGGTTTTCAAACTTTTTCAGCAGAGACCCTCTCTTTGTGTCGGGCGAAACCTCCCCCCCCACCCACAAAACGCAAAAATCCCTCAAATTAACAGCTTTACTTAATTACTTAAAACATTTTAAATTGTTGACATGTTTTCAGTGCTACAATCAACTGATCAAATCTTCAAGCACAGTGTTCACTGTGGTCTGCTCTCACTTTATTTCATCAAGCCATATTTTGTGTACAACTCATCACATTTACTCTTTTCATACTAGGCTCTTCTGTATTATCCTTTTCAGCTGAGAGTCTAAATTTATCTAAGATCAGTTTTAAAGAGTTTTGTCATTTATCAGCATGTTCATGACTAACAGTTAACTGTACTGCGAACTAGCAATACTACAATGGAGGCTGTAGTGACTCAGTGTTTTGAAGTTTTTTATATTCTTTTTTTTTTTACATCATAATTTACTTAGATCGACAATTCTCACTTACAATGACAAAAAAAAAAAAAAAAAAAAAACTTTCTAAGTGCATTCTAGAATGTAGTATTCAAGTTCAGAGTCCACATTTAAACCACTTAAAATGCAAAGGGCCACAAATGACACTTTTTTGCTGGCTTTAAAATGTTCATAACCAACTTGTTCTATTTAAAAGTAATACTGTACATTACATTTAAATGGGTTAAAATTACTTTGACCATAGATAATGGATAATCTTTGCAATTGTCTGTGGTACACACTGCTGAAATCCACTTACATTTGGTGGGTTTGGTGTTAAAGGAACACTGTTTTTGGTAAAATTCCTGAATTATTATGCTGAAATGCGAGTATAGTTTATGATCTAGAAAATAGCAACTTTTTCCATTGTTTTTAGTACATGATGTAAGTACAGAAGAGTCAAGCTTTAAATGGGAAAAATGGATCAAAACCCTTTTTTGAATGTTTTTGAGTGACATGTTAATGGACTAATCCAGAGGTGTCCAAACTCTGTCCTGGAGGGCCGGTGTCCTGCATAGTTTAGCTCCAACTTCCATCAACACGCTTGCCTGGAAAATTCAAGTACATCAAGAAATAGCTTAATTTAGCGGGTTCAGGTGTGTTTAACTAGGGTTAGAGCTAAAATATACAGGACACCGGCCCTCCAGAACTGAGTTTGGACACCCCTGGTCTAATCCGATTTAATGATTTATGCTAAGCTAAGCTAAAAGTGCTCCTGCTAGACCCGGAGATTGGCTGAATGGATTCAAATATGATAAAACTGTTTATGGGTTGTAAAATGACACTATTTTATAAAAAGTGAAGTGTTCTTCTAATGTTTTAATGTAAAAGCACTGAATACTATTATTATTAAAAAAAACTGTGTTGTGTTTTCATCCAACAGTACAGAAAGACTCCTCTCACACCACCTCCACCTCTGCGGTCACACTGGTAACCAGCACACCGGTGTCGGCCACCATTATGGCAGGATCCACTGTCAGCTCTTCTTCAACATCAGCCACAGCTGGAGACTTCCAGATTCCCACCACCTCTGCAGACGTAGCGGCTGACATAGCCAAGTACACTAACAAAGTGAGATTGCTGAGGTTCATATTAACAAAAGAAGACAAAAATCATTTAAATTGGCTTATGAATATAATAACTGATTTTTACTGCATGTGTTTTATTAACAGATCATGGATGCCATTAAAGGGACGATGAATGAGATTTATAATGATCTTACCAAGAGTACATCAGGAAACACAATAGCTGAGGTTGGGATTTATTTTGGAACTCTAGAAATAAACAAAGTATTGTTTGTGAATAATTTAACAATTTGAGGATATGAATAATACAGCATTTTTACCCTGTTACAGATTAGACGGTTGCGAATTGAAATTGAAAAACTGCAGTGGCTACATCAGCAAGAGCTGTCAGAGATGAAGCACAATTTAGGTATGTTATTATTATTATTGTTTTTGTTTTTATTATTACCTTATGAATGCTCCAGCCTCAGCATTCTGACCAATAAACTGATAATTAAAATCTTGTTATAGCTAATATATTAATAACTATCTACAGTGCTGAGTACACCCCTCACAATTTTATCTTTTAAATTAATATTTTTATAGGAAGCTGCACAGTATTATATTTGTGCATATACATTAGATTAGGCAGTACTGAAGCCAAATCTGAAGTTTATCTATCAAAATAACTTAAGATAACAGTCCAAAAACTACGACACCCAAACTTATATTTTATGGAAAAATATGCAATACAAATTTAAAAAGAGGAAAAATCGAGAGAAGCAAAAAAAATCTGAAAAATTTAGTTGAAATTTTGTAGATTGTAATTTATTTTTGCAATATTTTGCTTGAATTTAATTGAATTTGTATTGTTTCTAAATATGTTTGGTAGGGGTGTCACGATTTCGATTTTTAATCGAAATCGATCGAAATTTATGCTCAATTTCAATTATCGAATCAAAAAATAGAATCGTCCATGCTGCCACGCCCCCATGTCACGTTAGCTTGGCTTGCCAAGCGGGAAAATAACAGGCTTGTTGAAGTGCTTGTTGAACTGCAGAAGCAGGAGACTTGTCGACAGAACTAAACCCTCTCCTCTTTCAATGAAGTCGCCGGTGTGTAAGCATTGGATTTCCAGGGAGTTATGTTGACAACGTTCGTGTTGTCGACAAAAAAAAACACAGTTTTGCAAAAATCTCAGAATTGCATGAGAAAATCATGAATACAACTGTGAAATATAAACTATGAAGAACCAATCTTTTATATAAATCTACTGATATTAAAGTTCTTTAAAAATTTTTCTTTTTAATTCAAAATAAAACCTGAAGTCATTTATTTTTGATGCTCAAATTCATAATCAAATCACATCTTAATGTATAATGTAAAAAAATAGAAATTTATGCTGTGACTTTGTGTAGTTTATTTATTTAATAATTCATAAACGCAAATTAAGATCCACTCTTATAAATAAAGGCTCCTTATTGGCATTGACAGTTGTGTGAGGAAACATTAAGATAACACAAAAGGGTATTGTTGATGTAAAAAATTATTTTGATTATTTAAAATGTTTTTTACATTACACAAACATGGTCACACTTTAAAATAATAGTCATTTAGTTATTGTTAGTTTGGTATTTAAATGAACACAAACAAACAGTGAACACTACATTTATTGCTGTATTCATCTCTGTTAACGTAAGTTAATAAAAATGAAGTTGTTCATTGTTAGTTCATGTTAACTGACTGGCTTAACTATTTGTACAATTTTGGACTCTTTATTTTTATATGATGATTATTAAGTTTTTGATTCACAATTACCCTGTGTCTGCTTTAGCAATAAATAACAAATTAATCATATTAATTGAGAACTAGGGATGGTCCGGCTAGAGATTGGTATCAGAGATAATCAAATTTCCTGACTTGATTGGTACTTGCTGATCAGGCTAATCTCATGAGCTGATCACAAGTGATTGTTGAGTTTACAAGCAGAGAAAGATGCACGTGCACACCAGGTTATAGATCAGCAGATAAATGATGTGTAGGAGCGATCACTGCACTTGTGTCATAGCAGCTGAAATATCTACAGATGTGGTGCGACCTGTTTATACAGTTTATTGGAGCGACTCGATAAAAATAAAAACTGAATATTTAATGATACAACTTGTTGTAATATACTTATTGTAATAAAAAGTAGTTAGGGGCACAGTTTATAAGTGTGCATTTTAACTTCCTATGCATTATGAGACTATGCATTATTATCTTAGGTAAGGATGGATCTCCACTTAAGATTCATACTTAGAGGAAAAATGTGCTTTATGCATCATAAAGCTTGAAGCATCAGAATCGACACTCTGTATTAGCCGATCACCATGTCAAGGAATTGGTACTCAGTATCAGCATCAAAATTTCTGATCGGAGCATCCCTACTGAGAACTGATATTACTACAATATATCCTTTTCATCCATAATCCATATTTTGTATGTTTATGTTTGTTAATGTGATCTGCTCAGAACTAACCATGGCAGAGATGAGGCAGAGTCTCGAGCAGGAGCGAGAACGGATCGTAGCTGAGGTCAAGAAGCAGATGGAGATGGAAAAACAGCAGGCTGTGGATGAAACTAAAAAGAAGCAGTGGTGTGCAAACTGCAGAAAAGAGGCCATTTTCTACTGCTGTTGGAACACCAGCTACTGCGACTACCCCTGCCAGCAAGCACACTGGCCTGAGCACATGAAGTCCTGCACACAGTCTGGTAAGATGTAGCAGAGGCTCAGAATCAGCACACAGTGGAGATCAAAATTAATCCAATGACAAAAAGGAGCTTTATAATGCATACATACAATTGAAGTCAGAATTATTAGCCTTCCTGTTATAATTTTTTTTCTTTTCAGATATTTCCCAAATTATGTTTAACAGCATGAAATTTTTCACAGTATTTAGTACAATTAATTTTTCTGTAGAGTCTTATTTGTTTTATTTTGACTAGAATAAAGCTGTTTTATTTTATTTTTTTTTTTAACCTTTTTTAGGGTCATTATTATTATCCCCCTCAAGCAATACTTTGCAATATTTCTTTGCATTAAACAATGACTTGCCTATTAAGTTAACTTACCTAACCTAGTTAAGTCTTTAGATTGCACTTTAAAGGGCACCTTTTTTACCCCTTTTTCAAGATTTTTTGTGTCTCCAGAATAGGTCTGTAAAGTTTCAGCTCAAAACACACATCAGATTATTTATTATAGCTTTCAGAATTTTCTGCTCTTAATTTCCACTACTGTTTGGACATCCGTTATGTATATGGCCGTGGGGAAAAAAAATGTTCTTTTTTAGATCCTGCACATGCGGTTTAATTAGGGATGCTCAAAATAATCGAGTAGCCGTTAATTGAAAGGGTGTGTTTGTAACCGATTGATAACAATTAAAAAAATACAATTTTATGTATTTTATTGTTTGGCTGCATAAGGGGCCAATAACAGCAAACAAGCTTTTTGCGTTCACAGGGGCATCTGTTGAATGGTTTATCAACGGCCGTGAGTGTTTTACGCGTTACTTATGCGCCATGAGCACCTTACGTTTTGCTGTTAGGCTCTGTGTGCTCGAGCGGAATAAGCGTGTTACATCGCGTCTTTTTCATTTTTCAATCAAATGAAAGCACTGCAGGATTTCTGTTGAGGTGACAGCGTGGTTTGTTTTGTCAAGGTGACTGGCGAACTTTTAATGATGGAGGAAACACTTGTGGTCGCTGTTTCAAGTTATCCAGAGCTTTATGACTCTACAAATCTTATTTCATAAAAATTATAATTATAACATCAACAGCAACACGACTCTTGTACAATACGGCTCAACTAATTTAGTCATTTCCTAGTGACATACAAAAGAGCACCGTGCTTCTTTTTTACTTGTCAACATAATAGGCTGTGCGGTGCGCCTCGTGTTTTTGGAACGGAAAGGCTTGTTCTTTGTGATTGGCCCCCAAATACGCAACAAATATTTGTTTACTCGCGGGACAGTGACACGTGCAAACACAGGTGTCTACAGACGTATTTTGCCCAAGTAACAAAATGAAAGAAGGATATTTCTGGTCACAGTTTGACACAGACGAGTTGACATAAACCAGAGCTGATGCTGATTGCCTCTGTGCTGCGTCATAAACTTAACAAATAGGCTATTGATGTTTAGTGTACAACCAACAAACCAACCTTTTTTTCTATTTCGAAAATTACAGTTATTAATAGTTCTTATATAATATCCGTTTTTAAAATAGACTACATAATCTACAAATCAAACAAATCCAAATCCAAAAAGAAATTGTTGCAGGACTTTGTTTACAACCCAGAAAAAAAAAAGAAAAAAGAAGTGATAATGGCCTTGATTTCACTTCTATTCTTTAGTTTAGCAGTTCAGTTCTTTAGCACTTTGAGCACTTGTTATTTAAACACTTTAAAGGGTCACGAAACACCAAAACACATTTTTTGAGCTGTTGACAGTCGTATATGTGTCCCACACTGCTAAAAACACTATTAGGACACCTATATTTCACTAAAAAGTGTAAATTGGTTGTTTTTGCGTTATTTCAAGCAAATTTGTACTTCCTGTTTGAAACAAGTTTTTGAAGCTGCGTCACGGTCATGACATAATAGCGTGTATTCCAGCGTGCAGACTGGGCGTCTGTGCCTGAGTGAGTCTTATTACGTCTTACAGTGTGATGCATTAATGCATGAGTAAGGTTTGGGTCAAACCAATCAGCGCGCTCTATTGTGCAACTTCATTAATATTCATTATTGTCACCGTGTCTACACCACAAAGACGCCACGTTGTGTTGGCAAAACAAGCGTGAAGTGTTGCTTTTATAGTTTGCTGCTGCTAAGTTTCGTTTTCATTTTCTCTCTGTGAGAGCTTATCTGGATCACGTGTGGACTAACAGTGTACGCGACGCGCGACAACAATAATTTACGTGTCTAAGGAGGATTATTGTTTACCTGAGAGCTGTTCTCATCTGCAAACGCTGAAATCTGGATTTGCTTGTAGTCTTCTCTTCATAAAGACGCGGCTCTAGTTGCTGGTGATTGTTCTGTCTCTACAGATTTGGTAAGTGAGCGACCAGTGCTCTTTGTTTATTCAGTTTGTTCGTATCGAATTAAGTTAACTATTGCACTGAGTGCAGAAATGTTAGCACCGCATTTTGTGACTGGAATAACACACGCGGCTTTCTGACACTACCTGCCGTGTGCATCTTAAGCAGGTCGCACACCAGCCACGCAGCGCCATGTATTTTAGAATTCTAAAGATAGGTTTCTATCAGGATACACACACCGGCGCCTCAAGTCGGCGGCTGTCGGCGGCGCCCGGCGACGGCTCAGGACGCAGTTTATTTTTCAGCCGCGCCACAGAGCGCCATCTGATTAGTTTCATGTTAAATATCATTCGAATGTGCGCGTCTGGTGTGTGATACTTTAAACTGTCATGTACGCGCCGTGTCGCGGCGCTTCTGGTGTGCGACCTGCTTAAGTTTCCGGGAAATGCAGAGTTTTTTTTTCTCTCATTCGCCGTGCGGTATTAAACATTGCATGAAAAATACACGCTTAGAGCAGATCCTCGAATCAAATATCACGTTTGTCGCGAGAGGCATGAATGAATTCCCTGAATGAAAGAGCCAAACTGCAGTTAAAGTCCAACATTTAATAATTTGTCAAATAATTCGACTACAGATGTCCATGTAGGTTAAACACCATCACTTTCTCCTGTCTGTGTGGGTGTGTATTTTGACTCTGAAACTCGCGCGTGCCCAAATAGACACTCCCACACCATCCCACTTTAGTTCCTCCGACACTCCCCCCTAAACAGAGCTGGACACGCCCACTTTTCTGACTTTTTCCAAAGTAGAGGTGTGAAAACACCCTGCTGAAACGAGGGGGTTTCATGGCCCTTTAAGCACTTGTTATTGTTCAGAAGAAAACTACAGAAACATGTTAATACGCTGCTGTCAATCTAATCGGTGGGTGGGGAAACCGCACTCCTACGTCACGTTGAGGTGGGCCTCAAAATGGGAGGGATTTTGATTCTATTTTAACATCAGAAAATAAAAAAGACTTATTGTCTTACATACAAAATATTAAATCACCCCAATATGACTGTGGACACACTATAACTACATACATTTGTGTCCAAACAGCTTTAAAAAAGATGATTTTCATCATAGGTGCCCTGTAAGCTGAATACTACTATCTGGAAAAATATCTCGTAATATATTATGTACTGTCATCATGGCAAAGAAAAAAGAAATCAGTTATTTGAGATGAGTTTTTAAAAATATTATGTTTAAAAATGTGTTGGAAAAAAATGTTTTTTTTTCTGTTTAACAGAAATCGCAGAAAAATATACAGGGGGGCTAATAATTTGGGATTCAACTGTATATAAGCATACAGCAGTGAACGTTATTTCTGAAAATCTAAAGTGTAAAAATTATTCGACCTCTGTATATATGGATAAAATACTTGTTTTAAGAATTAATTAAATAATGAATATACTTCACACATTCCAGCAACATCATCGCAGCAAGAACAAGAGTCAGAAGGCAGCACAGATGTTACTCCAAAGGCTCCCGGGCAGCCAAACAATGGACCCAACTCACCCAGAGAGACTGTATCTTCCACACCTGCAGACAAAGACAGTGAAGTGGATAAAGCCAAGGACAATGTCACTGTCACAATGTCCTAGCTCACATGTACAAAACACACACTACAACAGCACTTACATCTGTACAGCTGTACATAGATGTTGTCAAGCTCTTCATTACAAAGTCCTTTTAACTACGTTTGTCTTGTTTGAATGTACTTTTATGTTACGACTACGTCTGAATGTTCCAAATCTAAGACCACTCGATTATTTCTTGCTGTAGAACTGAGAGAGTTGTCAAGTTTATTTCTTTTGCGTATGTAAGGTCTGTTGACATTTTAGTTGGAGTCGCCAAAGTTATATTTATAATATTGAGAGCACCTAATCGTCTGAAATTTTTCCAGAATGAGTAAGCCAATAGTTTGTTCGGTCTGAAAAACTAGTACAGAATGTGGTTGCTTTTTATTTGTAGTATTATCAAGATCATTCACAGTGGCAATTTTTTTTAATCTTCATTTCAGATCAGAATTTTAATTTTTTTTTTTTTTTGTATTTTAAAGTACAGTACTGTGCTGGATTCTTAGAATATCTTATTTATGATAATTCATGCAAAGACCATTTGGTTATGAGACTACATTATATCTTGTCCATATTTCGCTTGGACAAGTAAACACTGTTTCAAAAAATAAGATTATTTTCTTGTTCTGGTTCGGTTGCGCGTCTCTGTGAAAAGAGAAAGGATGCAACAACATGTTGAAAAATCTTTTATCAAAAATAGAAAAGAGTATTAAAAATCTGAGACAGGTTTCCGGTTATGTCTTAAAGGGATAGTTCAACCAAAAATAAGAATTCTCTCATCATTTTCCCACCCTCTACCACTTGTTTTAAGCATGTAAGAGATTCTTTTGTTTGCTTATACACATAATAAACATGTACTAATAACAGAAATATGAACATACTTATGATTTACGAGGAACGACATGTTAAATGAATCATGTGATTACATCGTGGAAGAGCATCGAGTGGGATTGGTTCTTTGAAATGCACTGTTTGACTGAACTGATTTTGCTGGGGAAAATAGAAGTGCAGGGTGAGTAAACGGTAATTGAATTAGAATTTTTTTGGGTTGAACCATCTGTTTAAATGCCTTTCATTTTCGTTCACCTCTGAGATACTGTTGATGTTATAGTTTTGTCATCAGTATCAATTGTTTTTCATTTGAATTTGCCTTACAGTTGAAAATTCAATGTTGAACGACTATTGTTGGTGTAAAAAATGTTTTTGTCATTTGCGTCCTTCTTGATCTTTCAAAAGAGCTGAATATTTTTTATTTAAACACTGGCCAATTTTACAGATTTTTAAAAAAATCTGATTTTAACATGACTGTAACTTCACAAATTCTGTATGTAATGTAAGAAGGTACTTGTTTAATGTTTTTTATTTTTTTTTATTTTGCATATATCATTCATTTTGATGCTGTATTCTTTGTGAGTGAAGAGCAGAGTCGTATGACCCCATAAGATACTGTATATGTGAACCACAAGCAGAAACATTCCTTTGTTATGCTGTTAATAGTGCATAAATATGTTATTCCAAACCATATACAGAAAAAGAAAGAGGATTTCTGTCTAATGAAGAACCAGTAGATGTTTACATATTGTATATAAATAAAGATCTGGTGGTCTGAATTGTAATTTAGTTTTTGTATGGTGCAAGTGTATTAAAGAGAACACCTGATGCAAACGTTTCAAACTGGAGTCCTACTTTAATGAGCGATTGAGATTACACTTGATGTCACTATTAAGCCTGTTAGGTGTAAATGTAATTCCTAAAAGTAGAGTTTTAGCTGAGGTAATCACTAATATTTAGTACATGCATTACTCCAACAACAAGTTGTATTCATACATATTCTGTCTATTCTAACTGTTAGAATTGCTGTCAAATCTCTTCACAGTGGTTAGCTCTGAAGGCAGCAAGGCACGTCTGAATCTGAGTCTGTGTAATATCTCTAATAATATGCACTGCTGGGGAATAATGTAGTTACATGTAACATATTTTATTCATTCATTTTCTTGTCGGCTTAGTCCCTTTATTAATCCGAGGTCGCCACAGCGGATTGAACCACCAACTTATTCAGCACATTTTTATGCAGTGTATATCCTTCCAGCTGCAACCCATCTCTGCGAAACGTAACATATTTTAATTACAAACTAATTTATCTGCTATCCATTACATTTACTGAGAAAACAAAAGTAGTTTAATTACAAAGAGGTTTATAGTGAACATTTTCTGTATCAAATAAAGGATGTTAATTAGAATAATGTTCACTTGTTGATGCACAATGCCTCCAAGGTATTTTCAAGGAATTTTTAGTCTCATAGCTATTAAGCTACATCCTATGTTTTGATTTTGAATCTGCATTTAACCTGTAAATAATCTCAAAGAGTGGTGCTAAACTGATTTTGTAATGGCTCTGTGCTCTAAAGTTAAATTCTTATCTTCTTAATTCAAGCAATGAAGGATTTTGAAAGCCTGATAATCTGTTGAATACTACTGAAATGTTGTGATTTAGAAATCAAAAATAAATCAACTGTGACCTGTTACATTCATATTTTAACTGAAATAGTTACACAAATATTGACATTATAAACAGTGTAACTTGTAATCATTTCCAAAGGTACGTTCTCAACACTGATAATAAGTCCTCTGCCAATTAGATACCATAAAAGTTATCTATATAGTATTTGTGTGTACACGTGTAAACTGCATTGATCAGATTACGAAATTTCATTGTGGACTACTTCATCAATGAGCCACTGCTATTAAAGTGACAGTTCAACCAAAACTGAGAATTCTGTCACCATTTACTCACCCTTAAATTGTCACAAACCTGTTTGAGTTACTTTTTTCTTTTCAACACAAGATATTTTAGAAATGGGCGAGGCAGTGGCGCAGTAGGTAGTGCTGTCGCCTCACAGCAAGAAGGTCGCTGGGTCTCTGGTTTAAACCTCGGCTCAGTTGGCGTTTCCCCCACAGTCCAAAGACATGCGGTACAGGTGAATTGGGTAGGCTAAATTGTTCGTAGTGTATGAGTGAATGTGTGTGTGGATGTTTCCCAAAGATGGGTTGCAACTGGAAGGGCATCCGCTGCATAAAAACTTGCTGGATAAGTTGGCGGTTCATTCCGCTGTGGCGACCCCGGATTAATAAAGGGACTAAGCCGACAAGAAAATGAATGAATGAATGAATATTTTAGAAATGTTGGAACCCAGTAGTTGGCTAACCATTGACTGTCGTAGCCAGTTTGTTTTTCCTAACATGGTAGTCAATGTTAACAGTTTCTGACATTCTTCAAAAGCTTTTGGAACCAACAGAGGGTGAACTGTACAGAGCTGTAGCTGCTTTACTGGGCCTACTACACTACTGTATTTCAATACTGCTTATTTTTGTAGTACTTGGAGAGAGCATTTTTTTCTGAGGTGGTAATTAATGAAAAGAATTTGAGAACCACTGCCTTAGACTCTTTCTGTGCATTTTTAAAAAATGTCTATGATTGAGATGTCAGCTATGCCCAGATCTCTTAATTTTTTTAAAACTAGTTTCCCTCTCTTTTATATGTTGTACACTTAATAAATACATGTTCAATGGTTTCAATTTTTCCACAATGACTGCAGCATTCTGTTTCCTTTTTCCCTATCTTGTACAGTGAGCTGTTTAAATTGGTGTGACCCATTTGGAGTCTGGTTATGTCTTCCTTCCTGTTCCTTTATGCTTTCTTTTCTTTCCCCACTTCAGCTTGTATGCTATACAGATGTCTTGCTTTTGATTCTGAATCCCAGTCCTCTTGCCAAAGATTAATAACTGAATTATTTATAATATATTTTATTTCTGTTTTACATCCTTCTTCTGCTTTCTTCTACTTCTTCTTCGTCTAGTGTTTTATGGCAGTTTGGCAAACCAAAGAATAGGCGCATTACCTCCACCTACTGGAGTGCTCCTCTGGAGTGTGAATTGTGCATACTAAGGTAGAAAGAAAACACTAGCTTAAACTTTATATATATATATATATATATATATATATATATATATATATATATATATATATATATATATATATATATATATATATATATATATATATATATATATATATATATAATAAATATATAATAATAAAATATTAATAAAAATCTAATTCTATGCATTATTCCTATGTTAAATATTTCATTTACATTTCTTGAATTCTTGATTGTAAGCCCATTTCCTAGCAAGACTTTTAAAGAAAACACCTCACCTTCCAGCCGCCCTAATTCTTGGATCAACTTAAACCTTATAAGCAGAGCATTCTAAAATTAAATTATATGATTAACTGTTTCCAGTTTTATGCAATTATCACACTTCCCTGATTCATGCTTTCCTATTTTATACAGGCTGCAATTTAATGATGTATGACCAATTCTTAATCTTGTAAAGATGACATCTTTCTTTTCTTATTTTTTATTATAACACTTTAACAGTACAAAAAAATATGCCAGGGGGCAAAAACAGTCAAATACAAATATACAAAATTTACATATGTAATAATTAAATAAATACATTATAGAGTTCACAAAGTTTAAAGTGTGTGGGGCTTTCTTATTTAGAGAGTCTTTGATACTACTAATATATAAGCATAATTCGGTCATCAACACCTTAAAGTTCTGTTTCCTGTTAGTAATTTTACATTTATGAATGTAAAATTTTGTTAGCAAAATAATTAAATTAATTAAATAAAAAAAAAATTTCCTTTTGATTAGGGTACATAGAAATGCCAAAGGTACATTTTTCACAGCAATGGCAGAGGACAATGCATCAAAAGCATGGACTTGATGCCTCTAAATAACATATGGACCCCTGAAGGAATTGAACAAATAACAGTTGAAAACTCTTGTTGGGTAATTGAGATTTTGTAATAATAAGTGAGGAATTCATTGTAAGAAAAGAGTACACCTTCTTTATTATATAACTGACTAACTACATACATTTTTTTTCAAACCACTTATTGAAAAAAATAGATTTGCGCTTGTGTAAAATGTGTCTATCATTCCAAATGAAATAGCGATGTGGGGAGAAATCATGCTTATATTTTAATGACCATGATAGGAGCACTTGTCTGTGGAAGGCAGATAATTAAACTGTGATTTTGTCTATATTATAATTGCACATCCGTAGATGTCTTCCTTTATTTTTTCAGTCTTCTTTTATTTTTTCAGACACTTGCCGGAAGTGGTTAGATATTAGACTGAAAACTAGAGGGCGCACTTCTGCACCTCTGTATGGTGCATTTTCACCTCCACGACACCGTGTCGCTGTCCGACATCGTGCTTTAACTTCAAGCTCAATGTGGCTTCGCCTCATGCTATCTGTTCTGGACTATCTCTTTCGCACTACAGGCGAAAGCGAATACTGCATGTGCCACCATCATCAACAAGAAAAGAAAATGGAGGTCATACCGTTGCACTGACTGCAGGCTGAACGATACCAATGTTAACAAGTGAGTATAAAGTTGTAGTTGTGATGAATACTAATACATACTATTGCCCCATGTGTATGTGCTAAATGAATACATTAAACGCCGTTTGTCAGATTTATAGCAGTGAAACGCGCGTTACAGTAATGGCGCCACGAGCCTCCATGTTTATTTGATGCGATACGATAAGAAAGATTATTCCAGGTGGAGTTCAACAACCAAGTAAACCGCACACTCTTTGCTTTTTTTGGGCTGTTAATAAAGCACAAGTTATGTTTTTACACTAAATGAGTTACTTGTTTTAGTATAGTGTTTAAATGCGTGGAAGTCGCTTTTCTATAGTTTGATTGTAACGTTGGCTTATTCTCTGAACCACTAATAGATTGCTGTGTGTCTGATTGCATTATTTGCGTCGTTTTTAAATGTTAATAATACTATTTTTTTAATGCAATCTTGTTTTGATTTGAGGCGTATCGACAAAGTGGGTGTGTGCGCTCTGATTTCATGCGAACGTTAAACGTGTGTTTATGTTTGTTGTTGGTCTGCTTAACACAAATTATTTAGGGTTTTGCAATTGTTTAGCTGTGTATTTTTTTGCATGAATTGAATGTTTTGGGAAAAATTGGTCTCTGCAAAAAAAGAATGTGCATATTTTATTTGTTAAATACATTTTAAACTTCTTCCGCGTGTTTTGTATAAATAAGAACTCTCTTAATTATATTGGCATTAAACGATATATATTACGTGCAGACTGTTCTCACGTGGCTTGTATCCGTGACCGAAACCCATAACTTGGGCTACTCCGTAGCCTGCCTATATATTATGATTTACGTAACAAGCTAGTCTTTTTGAGTCCGATAATTACTAATTTGTATGTATAACTTTATTTTTACGGCGGATGGACGCGCAAAATAGCATGACGTTATACGCATAGTAAACACGCACTAATAACAGAAATATGAACTTGCATATGGTTTACGAGGAACGCCATGTTATATGAACCACGTGATTACATCGAAGAAGAGCCTCGGATGGGATTGGTTCTTTGAAACTCACTGCTCGAATTAACCGATTCCCGGATTAGTTAGATTTCGCACAGCTACTACAAGATGTAGTGCTAAAATAGTTATATTTCATTACTTTGACGTCATCTCCACGATTTACTCAAACGAGTACAGAGAACAAAACTGAAAAAATGATTTCTTGTTTTGTGTAAGAGACTGCGCACAAACGGGACGGCGAAATGGAGGTCGCGCGCTAGCTATTAGCTAAAGCTAACGGGCAAGTAATTTATGTCGATATTTAATCACGAAAGCTGTCGCTTTGTCTCATTTGGTCGTTTATATGTATTATGGGCATGCTAATTTCGCGACGGTCAGTTTTATTTGCACAATGTTACGTGAGTTACTATGACAGTGGGCGGCCACACCAACGCACACCAATGTTTTATTTAACGTTATATTAAAACGGTTAACGTTAATGTTACATGCAGGATTTGTGCTTCGAGTGCTTCTGAGAGTGGAATACCTTAATTTGTATAAAAAGGACTTTATTGAAAGGTTGATTTTAATGAATATCAGACACGTTTAATATCTGGGCCTTGAACACGTTTTAAAATGTAACGTTTTACAGAAGCAAATTTCTTCCATATCTCAGTTGCATTGTTTTGTGAAATCTGAGTGACACCAAACGTTTTAAATGTGCAATGATTTGTCTTATATTACGTATTTAGTTAATGTATCAGAGGAATGATGGCATTTGTAATAGATTAGCACTTGTCTGTATGAGCAGTTTTGAACTTGTTTGTTTTAATGAAAAACATGGTGCCTCTTTTACAATATCTGTAATAGTAATTTTGAAAGTTTTAAGATTGGGATCTGCTTGAGTTATCCTGTATTTAGTGCTTTGGTTGATCAATATATAATTTTGTTAGCTCACAGTTTTGTGGTGAACAATTCATCTGTGCATGTCGTTATGGGGGGAAAACAATTGTCTAATCTTTAACTGTAATCTGTAAAAGCACTTTCTATTTTTATTTTAGTTAAATTGTCATTTTATATATATATATATATATATATATATATATATATATATATATATATATATATATATATATATATATATCTTAGTAATGGGCTAACATATTTACTTAATACATATTTGCACACGTCATTTTTGGTAACAAACCGAAATGGTGAGGTGGTGCTTGCTAAGTTGTAATAACTCTTCCCAAACCCTTTTCTCCATCTTTCTTAAAGAAATGCATACTTAACTACATCCAGTCAGCTCGCAGTAGAAAAGCAAGTCGTGCCCACTGTTAAGTCATTTAATATTTTGTTATATTATGCAATGTTTTGGTGCAAGAAGCAGTTTTTGTTCCTTGATAGACTTTCAATTGTTTGAATATGAACTGATTATATACCAAAAACAGGACAAGCTAATATGATGTAAGCGGAGGGTTTTGTTGCTAAATTGAAACAATTATTTTTGTTGTCTCTAGATCAGCTTCGTAACGAAGAGTTCCAATCATCATCTTAGCAAACAGGTAACAGCATTTCACTTGTGATAATATGAGACTCCACGTGATTTTTGACACAGCTGAAGTCACACTATTACTGCTTATTACAGTGAGAATATTTGGCAGTATTTCTTTCCTGGTAACTAGAATCTAATAAATGTGACCTATACTTTGTCTTTGTTGCCAAATGCTAGAGTTAAACTTGAGTAACAGTAGTTCAGTTTTCCTGTAGATTACATTCGGTTTAAGATATTTATAGACTTTATTAATGCAGCTGTTGTCATTTTAAACAGCTTTAATTTTGATATTCTAAGTTGTTATCTTTAAACCAAATGCATTTGGAAAATCTCTCACACATTCATTCCAGCAACTGTGCAGATCAAAATGCATTATCGACTTCTTAACTACTATTGATCCTGGTAGTAGGTGGGTGTGGCTCTGGAGCTCCACCTTCTGTGACATGGAAATCTTCCCTGTTCAGACGGTCAAGGTTAAACATTGACAAGAAAAAGTTTGAACATGAATAATCTGCTTTAAACTGAAATGATTTTTTATGTGGATAGTAATTCTAATTTATTTTGTTTGTGGGAGAAATTTTTTTATTATCAGTGTACCATTTCAGCATCAATAATGCAATGTGTGAATTGGCAAGTCCATAGTTACGGTTACAAGTTACATAGTTACAAGTCCACAGGAACCATAGTTCAGAACACATGATTTGTGGAGTTGTTGCAACGTTTAACCCAAAGATTGTAAGTCATTTTAATTTGAATGTGTTATTATTAATACCTGTGACGGTGTAATATTTCAAGCGAATTTAAACCATTTGGGCACAAGAAATTATAGTTTATGTATACATTGAAATCTATACAGTGTTCATTTCCATCTGATTTATTTCATTTCTCTACCCGAATAGACTCCATAAAGCACTGTTTATTTAATTTGTATCTTTGCTCTATTGTTTGTGTCTATGCTTGTAATGTTTATCATATTTATGCAGATGCAATCTCCTACAAAATTAATTCTTTCCCAATAGACTTAATAAACCTTTAGAAATTGTATTCAGATCGCAAAAAATTAAAATAAATATATAAATAAAATATTGCTTATAATGCAAAAGTAGTTTTTCAGTAGTAATGTTCATTTGGAACAAGGATTGTTTTTGAAGTCCCTTTCAGAAGGATATTCTAAGGAGAAATGTTATTAAACACACAAATGGCATGTCACATCGTCTGTGTCGTGAAACCCTTGTCTAGAAATTAGTAGATTGTGTCCTATTGATTTAGCTTTATATATTTATTTTTTAAGAAATTTTTTCTGCGAGTATTTTTATTAGAAATTCAGTGGTATTATATTTATGTGAGTGGCTATATATGAGATTGTAAGAAGACAGAAGAGTGATTTTCAAAGAGTTGCATTCATCTACATTTTAGTAAAACAGCAGTAATAATATTACAAAATGCTTTCTGCTTAAGGGTAATCTCTCATATAAAATGATGGCAAAATAGACATTTATTTGTGCCTTTAGTGAATCGAAGTCTTAATTTCTTTAAAAATAAAACCTTTATTAGCCAAACATTTGTTTTTGTGTATGCTTTCAGTTGTTTTTAATTTAGTTTATTTTTTTAAACAACCTTATACACAGTTCACAAAAAAAATAAATACATCTTGTGTACTGTCCCTTGGGAATTAGTAAATTTTGTAATTTATGTTTGGAAATGTTTAATCATACATTCAGGGAGTTGATGTTTTACTTTTAACAGTTTTGGTGTTAAGGATATTTTTTAAACACTCTTAACTGTAGGTTTCAAACAAGTCTGTAGGACTCAATTAGTTTGTCAGGTGTGTTTAATTAGGGTTAAAGCTAAACTGCAGAGCTGCGGCCCTCCAGCAACTGGATTTGACACCTGTGAATTGTACTAAGTGTACTACAAAGATGAAATAATTTATAGTTTTAGTTGGGTGGGGGGTGGATGAGAGAATGTGTAAGTATTTTTGTATAATGCAGCTCCGTGTGCATATTAGACATGAGTGTAGCGTATGAACATATTTCGGTTCTGAATAAGGTTTCTTATTTGTGAGGAGGGTGTGCTTCAAGGACAAACAGCTGGAAACCACTTTACACTATTGCAGTGTCTGTTGATTTGACATCTTAAATGAATAAATCAGACATTAAAGCACATTTGTAGCATGTTAAATCTTTTTTTAAAATATCTATTTGTCACAACTTACCAAATCCCTACACATCGGAAGGAAAGGAGGCAGACTGGCACCTTCTACTAGGAAGCCACATGACTTCAGCTGAGAAGACTGTACGCATAACAATTTGTAGTAATATTTTGGAGTTGTGCTCTCCAATGAATCTTTCTTCTTTCTTAATTATAGATATTCTGTTTGAAAAATAGTGTCTCTCTGCTATGGAGGAGAGTGTGAGCCCTGAGCTGGTTCAAGCCCCTGTGCCTGAGCCCAGCCAGGATCCTGTGGATACCTGCTCACAAGGTACCTACGGCCTACTCCACCACATCCACTCCTGTACGAGAGCCGTGGGATTCACTATAATCAGGGATTCAAATTGGGAAATTACTGAAGCATGATACAATCACTGAGATTTAAGTGTTGGTTAATTTTTTCTCAGCATGCACTGGAAAATTGTAAATGGTTGTAAGCCTTTTTTGTGTGTAATGTGGTGTCAACATACTTTTTTTGCTTTTGCTTCTGGCATTTAGATTGATCATCTAGAATTCACATCATAATTTTGTGATCCACATTTTATATCTGCTGCGTTCTGATAATTAAACATTTGTTGTCAACTGTAATTATGCTACGTCTCACACACAGAACCAACATCAGTATCAGAAGAAGTCAAAGATCAGGAGCAAGGTGATGTTAGTGAAGACAAAGTAGAAGACCCTGACAAATCCTTAAAGCCTGCATGTGGTTTTAAGAAGACTTGGGGCTTTCGTCGGACCACCATTGCTAAGAGAGAAATCCCTGGAGAAATGGCAGCAGAGACCCCAGAAAGCAAAGGTGCACCTGTCCGTCGCAGTGGCCGGCAGGCGAAGCGCACGGACAAACTGGAAGAGTTTCTGGTCACAGTGAAGAGAGGAAGAGGAGCGGGTAGGAGAAGTTGCCCTTCACGAATTGAGGGAGGGGATCCTCCATCCCAGACCCCAACCGATGCTGAAACTGCTTCCGAGGCCAGCTTTGATGGAAATGCAGAAGCCAAAATAGAGGAACAAAAAGTAGCTTCACCAGAGAAAAAGAAAAGGGGCAGAGGAAGGGCAAAGAGGCCAGTGAAGCCCAAAACAGGTGGAGGCTCGGTGAGTGATGATGGCAGCTCTGAAAATGAAGAGGAGACTGGCGAAGAGGTAGCTAAAGACACTCAAGAACATGTTGAGACTGTGGCCTGTGCTGAAGATGCAAAGAATGTGGAAGCAAAAGAGGAGCAACCGATGGATGTTGTAACAAAAGAAGAAGAGGTTTTGGAGGAGGGTAGTAAGAATGATGAGAAGTCCTTAAACGAGTCTGTAAATAGACGTCTTACCAGAGCTTGTAAAGACTCTAAACGTGACACTAAACCCAAAGTAGGAGTGAAACTCCGCAAAGAGAAAAAAGAGGAGAAAGATGATGACGATGATGATGACGACGATGATGATGATAATGATGAGTCATCGTCAGCCAGTGAGTCCGACAGTGATGGGTATGACCCGAATGCACTTTACTGCATCTGCAGGCAGAAACACAACAAAAGGTATGTTTCTTTGTGTGCCAGTATTTGTGGCCAATAATATTACTTAAATTTGAAATTGTAAAATGTGTGACTTTAAAATCTAAATGTTTAATAATGACACACTTGTAGTTTGGTTAACTTGGCTTATTTGGTTGGATCAAAAAAAGAAAGTGAGCCATTCAGTCCTGGTTTGCTTAGCCTTCACACTTATTTTTAAAACTGGTGTCCTGACATTTTATACCTGTCAGATTATGCTACCAACACTGCATTTGAATGGTTATGAGGTTGGGTTAGGAATTACGTATGTCAGGGCTATATTACAGCTTCATATTACAATAATCCACATTAAAATTTACACTGGTAGCAACATTTGATGGGTGCAAATTGCATCATCAAGATTTGCTACCTACTTTTTGAATTAGAGGTAGCTCAATCTGACAAGGAAGGACAAAAATAAATCTAACACAGGATCAAGATAAATAATCCAAACAAGAACTCTTGACACTAATCATTTGTTACTAAACTTACTGAAATGCTGTGTGGGTTAATTACATTCAATGTATGTGTGCACATGTCATGTTTATTAGTCAAGATAAGTTTAAATGTTTTAAGCGCCCAATCCCAGCAGAGTTCTAAATAAGCTAAATATTTTAAAGGGGATAACGAATATATGGATATGTGTGTGTAATAATGTGTTTGTGTTAAGTTAATAGACTTAAATTCTAATGGTTTTATGCTCTGAGTATGTACCAGCTTGAGTATTTTAAACTAAATCATGTGTTTCCCTTAAAGCCTAATGCCTATATTGACTTTACGCTCAAGAAGAATCAATATATTATGTGCTAGAAAGTAGTTAGCATGCTAAAACTAGGTCTTGTGAAAAATCAATAGTATCATGCACACTGGACAACTAAACTCAGCTTTGCATAGTGCTACATTATACACCCTTATATGGTATGAGGTAAATGCATAAAAATCACACAATAATAACATTGTAGTTAACTTGTTTGTCAGTATTTTTATACCGTAGATAGTTTAGGAACATGTGAGTGGTGCATTTTTATTTACATGCATTTCTAATCATTCTACAATTTTTTTTTTTTTTTTTTCATAGAAAAATCTTTATACTATTTTCTATTTTGATTATATTTCATAAAACATCAGCGATGAGGATTTGGTCACATGTATGCAAAGTAAAATCCAAATTCTTAGCTAATGGATCTTCATTAAAAGAAGTTCAGCATTAAGGGACCAAACAATGGAATTAAGCATCATTTCAAGTGCCATTAAGACAGACTCGTATTGTTTACTTGATACAGAGATTGTCAGATTCTTACTTGCTTCAGCAGAGTTTTCTTTATGTGGATTTAATGAATATTCTGTGTGTTTGGTCATTGTTTAAATCCTTGTGCCATAGGTTCATGATCTGCTGTGATCGTTGTGAGGAGTGGTTTCATGGTGACTGTGTTGGCATTCCTGAGGCTCGTGGCCGGCTGATGGAGAGAAACGGAGAGGATTATGTCTGTCCAAACTGCTACACACAAAAAGGACAGATTTCCAAGGCCAGTTCCTCCACTGCAGCTGCAGAGAATGGCAAACGGCCAATAGTTGGCCCTCGTAAAACAGAGAGTGGTCTTACTGCACCATCTAGCACTGCTGCAGCTGCCGCAGAAGAAAAAGCTGATGACCTGGGCATCAAGGGCAGGATCGAGAAGGCTACCAATCCTAGTGGGAAAAAGAAAATAAAGATTTTCCAGCCGGTATGTCTCTGTATGAACAAGTCTGAATGCTGCGCTGTTGTTTACATTAATTTTTTGGGGTGAAAGAATTTTTCCTGTTGGTTTTTTATTTCAGTTTTATTTTGAGCTTTTATGCATGAGGTTTGAGAGCTTTTTTTCCACAGGATATTGTCTGATGCGTTCAAGTTTAACTTGTGATTTGATATATGATGTTTACAATCAGCATTTGATTGACGTTATAGCTTTTACAAGCTCATTTTTTAAAGCTGTCAGGTGTGTTCACAATGCTTAGTTTAATTGTTGTCCATTATAAGTTTTGACTACAAAAAAATTGTTGAGTTAAAAACCAAAGTGGAAATTATTTTTTACTTTAGCAACAACCTTTTCAGTGCTAGTACTAAACATGGGAAAATAAGACACATGACAAATATATAACACATTAGGACCAATTCTTTCTATTTATTGACTTATTACCTCCTAATTTTAAGATATTGGCTGTTTATTTGTACTTGTATGTATTCCACATTCTTATTACACATCTCTAATATCCAAATCACCCAATATCTAAATCAGATAAGCAGCAAACTGAGTTTTAGGCAAAATTCATAATTAAGAATTGTACATATACAATTTATTTTAATTGGTAATGATAGAAATGGGTTTTATATTATTATTGGGTGTTTTTCTATCATGTAAAGGGGCTTTGTTATCAACTCGCATGAAATTAACTTCCTAAAAGATGTTTATTACTTTTAAGGTATGGTAAGTAAAGTTCAGTTTATAAAATACACAATAACTATTCTAATCACTAAAATGTGCTTTAAAAGTAGTATTTAACAATTTTGTGACTAAAGTTATTTCAATTGCAATGAATGATTTTTTAAGTAATGGCCACAGTAATGGCCACAGTTTTCTTTAACTCATCAAAACAGGTTTAGATATAATATAATGCCATTTTGAGTGTCACTTGGCATCAAGTTGCGTTCAGTTTAAAATGCTTACTGAACAGTGACTAAGAGCATACTCACACAATGTACAGTTGTCTTGAACTGGGCCAAAGCACGCTCGTCCCCCCTCCTGTCTCCCTTGACGACCTGCACTTACATTACATTCGGGCCTGGGCACGCTTACTTCATCGATGATGCGCTGTTCAGTAAGCGCTTTCGCTCACCACAGTGGAGATTTCTTCAGTTATATTGTTTTAGTCATTTGGGATGCAGTGACACGGAGTCAAATATTTCGCAGAACAGATCAGCCACTTTTGACGCTCATAATCTGTTCATAAAAATGTTCTCGTGCAGCAGGAATTAGGAAATTTGCTGAAGGTGCAGCTGTCATACAGCGAGGGGTTTGCGTCTTTAATAATCTACGACAGTTTGCGTTCATTGAACAGTAAGAATGATTAATAAACCTATATCAAACAGTCTCTTAAAATCACGTCTCACTTTCAGTTTCGGGCTCATGCGTGCTTGCACTCACACTACAAGCGTACCGCACCAAAGCCCAAGTGAACCGCGCTCTGCCACACCTCTTCCAACTGGGCCAGGGCCGGCCAGGTGAACCGTGCCTGAGCCCAATTTAGAGCACTCACACTTCTCAAACGATCGGGGAAACGAGCCTGAGCACGGGTCAGATAGCATAGTGTGAGTACGCCCTAATTTTAAATGGAAATGGTCCTTTTAGAATATTGGGTTACATTCATTGGTTCCATTAGTTTATATTTTTACTTACCTGAACGAACAATACAGTTATTGCAGTAATTATTCTAAATTGAGTCATTCATTATTATTTTTTGTTTACTTATATTAAAAAATGTTAACAGGCACATATTTGTTTTTTAATAATGCATTAGTAAATCTTAAACTGATAAATAAATTCTGGGTAATTATTGTTCATTCTTAGTTCATGTTAGTAAATGTCTTAATGGAACCTTATTGCAAAGTCTGGTAGTATTTTTAATATACAGTACATATGGTTGTAGATCTTTTGCCATAATCTTGTGGCCTCAGAGTTTTGACATCCCTGAGTTTCCATCAGGTACCTGCAGCCGAGGGATCATCCCTCCCAAAGTGCATCGGGCCAGGCTGTGAGAGAGATGCCCTCCCTGACTCAGTGTACTGTGGAAATGACTGCATACTCCGACATGCAGCCGCCGCGATGAAGACCATCACCACGGATGGAAAAGACTCCAAGCAGAAAGAGAAGAGCAAATCCAAAGCACAAAAAAAGACCACAAATAAATCACCACAGAAGGTATTACTTGACCCTGAAACAAATATACATTTTATAGGCTTTAATTGTGGGATTTTTGCTGTGCATATGGAAAATAGATTATAATTTAATGACCTGTAAGGATACAATTGCATTATTATTATTTTTATGTAAAGGCCAAAGTTGATAATCCTGTAGTTGCTAATTCAGGTGCAAAATCAGGAAAACTGGTATCATATGTTTTTTTCTTTGTGATTTTATATTTTTATAATACACTGAAGTTTCAATTTGCTGTAAATGTTTGGTGTAATAAACTGCTATATTGTCTATTTGCTTAAATACTCAGTGCTTTTTTTGTTTATCTCCATAGAAAAGCTCTGGCCCTGAACGGAGGTCCTCTTCTAACCAAGGTCAGGAGGAGGAGTCCGCATCTTTGCCTGAGGAAAATGAAGACGATGAAGACAAGCACGCAGAGGAGCATCCTCCGCCACCAGCCATGTCGTCTTGGTCCAGTGACCATAATTACATTGCAGTAACGCCTGAAAAGACTACAGCCATATCAGCATCTGTGTTAAACAAAGCGTGTATGTATCTTTCTGAGGGTTTTTCACATTTTATTGACCTATCTCAACCAATGATGATGGGGTGTTGAACTGTCAAGAAAAACAGATTGAAATTGTTGCAACCTATGGGAGTCGCATCTTAAAAGCATTTCATTTCTGTTGTAAATTGGACTGAAATTATTGAAATTCTTTGAAAAGTGAAATTAGTGCTGGAAATGTGAGCACAGCAAAAATTTGAGTTGAAGTTTGGCACCATGTGCTATATACTAAAATATTTTGTTAGTGTTTTTATTTTAACACTGCAAGATGCTAATATTTGGAAAACACCTGTATCAGGTTATTCTGTACTGCAGAACAGGTAAGTTTTTAAAAAACTAAAAAAAGTTAGTCAAACTAAGTATTTAAGATCTGAAAACCATGAAGACCGTATTTTATTGTCTACAGTTGGGTATTTAAGTTAAGTATATATTTAGTCTTTAACTAAATAAGTGACCTAAAAATGTAGATCCTTCGGATCCGAGTCCAGACTGTAGTGCCTTGCCATGATATGTATTTGTAAAGCTTTCTGAACAGCATTTTTAAAATCTTTCGCATGTGATTTTTAAATTTGTTATTGTATGGAATACCATTGCCATTTATCTCCAATCCCTGCTGTCATCGGGGCAATAACTTCAACCGAAAAGATGTACTTGACCACACACCTGATCAGGTAGGTTAGGTGTCTTTTTCTCCCGGCTTCCTTCCTGACTAAAAATAGAATGTCTCTAAACCAACATGGACATTTGACCACAGTGCTGTTTCATAATATTGAAACTATGTAACTTTTACTTAACAGCTGATTTTTTTGACATGCATGCACCGAATTTATGCGTTCTCAGTGGAAAAGTGGCATTCAAAATAAAGTGAATTTGCGGATAATACTCTGCTGGCCCTGTGCTTCAATTATGAGAGAAGTCTTGGTTGTTGGATGAGAAAATGGAATGACAGGGCCTCTGTCTTTTTTTGGCCTTTGTCAGCTATCTGCTAAATGTCATGGCATGATTTTGCATAAGAAGACTACAGTTCTTGGAGCCGGCCAGTGAGGAGAGATTTGGCGTTTCAGAAAAGTCCAAGATCCCAGAAAGTGCGCTGATGTAAAGAGGCACCATAAAGAAGAACAGCTGAGGACACCATATACACCCCACAACAGTCAACCGAATTCACATGCCACATAATTCCAGCACAAAGATAAATTTTAAGCTGACTTTATTTATATGCTTGTACACAATGTAGACATGCTGGTAGGCCTACTTCATATATAAATTTGAGCAAAGAAATTAAACTCAGATGTACAAGGTGAAAGCTGAGAGCTGTTTGTTCAGAATTTAGAGCATGAGTTTAAAGACGAAAAAATGGCTGTTGGAAAGCACAATATAAAAAAACAGGAAGAAAAAAATATCTTAGGCTTAATGTGGGCTTTTGTTTGATACAGAAAATCATGATTCAGAACATTTAAATTAATGCCACTAATTTGTTTTGGTTCTAAAAGCTTTTACTGAATAGCATTTAGTATTTTAAATGTGAGTGTAGTCTGCTTGAGGCTATCTTTGGTTGTTTTGTCTTTTGTTGATAAAAATAAAAATGGGGATTGACGTAGATAACACATGAATGGCATTACTTTGATGCTTTTGGCATATTGTGTACTAGTACTTGAAAATGTGTGTTTTTAAGGGTTTATTTCTGCAATGCACTTACAAGCTTGAAGGCAGATCTTGAAGTATTGAGTAATTCTTTGACATTGAAGTTCTTGTCTGATGTACAGCTGATTAAATATCCATTTTCTAAGGGCCTTTTTAATATTAAATTATTGGGTTTAATACTAAATTATTGGGACAATGGGTATGCCAGTTTGTTGACATCAAATGTCATTACTCACAGATAATCAACATTATACTGTTTTTTTTTTTTTTTTTTTTTTTTACCCAACTGATTTTTGCATATAAATGCATGTCATAAAATTATATGGAAAAAAACTAACATGTAAAGTTTTGTGCGGCACACATTATATGTGCAATATTACCTCAAATTTAGTCACATTAAAAAAAAATTACATTTTTAATATTATACATGTAATATATGCTCCAAATTGTGTGTAAATAAAGATTGAACCAACTTAGTAATCATTTATATTAATATTCTGGAAGTATTTCTATGTTCTGCAAATAATCTCTTAACTCTGTCTTGAGGGTGTCATAAAATTATTGTAAATGCTTAAATACGATCAACCTTTTCTTGTTTTTTTTTGTCTTTAAACCAATTTTACACTGGTAATTGTGGTCTTTATATCAGCAACTGGTCAAACTTGAAACAATGTCAAGGCAAGGCACTACAATAGCTTTTGTATTTTATTGTACATTTTTATATCAAATTTTCCAAATCAAAATACATGATTTCCAAATTCTAAAACTCTTGGTGTTTTGTGATGTAACTTTCTGTGGTCATGTATTAGTTTATTTTTGTTTTCCAGCAGCTGCCGAGAAAGACAAAGAAAAGGAGGACCATGAAGAAGCCAAACCAGAAAAGGAGACTGCAACCCCTGACAAGAAAGCTCCCACCCCAAATGTTACTTCCAAAGGCGTTAAAAAGTCCCCTGGCTCTAAAGGGACAAAGACACCTGTTGCTGCCTCTTCTGTTCCCAAAGGCAAAACAAGTGCGACACCTTTGAGCAGTGGCAGAGAGTTAAGAAAACAGCCAATGCCACCAGCCAAAGCAAAGAAACCGGTACCTCCACCACCCCCCGTTCCACTTTTATCTCCTTCGGGACCTGGATCTCGTCACCATGCCTCTGGAGCTCTTCGTGTGACCAAGAGCACCTTTACTATCCCCAAAAAACAGCCACAGGCAGGGCAAAAGGAATCTGCAGAGCCTGGTCCCTCACCCACCTCAAGAACCCCAACGTCATCACTGTCGTCTACCCAACACCCACCACCTAAACCTACCCCTCCTGCCGCTCCTCCACCGGCACCACCCAACAACCAGATGAGATCCAACATCAGACGCTCACTGACTGATATTCTGTATAAAAGGTGAGATTTTTTTTTTGCTCACTGGACCAAAATAGTGTCTCCTAATATCAAACTTAATCAAAAATACACATTAAAATTGAGTTCAATTCAAAATAACCAAAAAGAAAAGTCTGTAAAATTGTATAGTCTTTTTGCTTTTTAGATGTCCTCCTGAATAGTCTATTAGTATGTTTTGAAATGAAATTATTTGTAACTTTTCTGACACCTATAGTTTTGGTAGGGATTTTTAATATTCCATTTGTTGTTGTGCCACAGGGTGAGTGACAGTGATGATCTCACAATGTCTGAGAACGAAGTGGGAAGATTGGCTGTAGGCATTGAGAAGGAGATGTTTAACCTTTGCATGAACACAGATAACAAGTACAAAAACAAGTACAGATCCCTTATGTTCAACCTCAAGGATCCCAAAAACAAGGTTAGTCACTTTGTTGAATAGACAGTTATTCTCTATTGAAATGCCTTATTTGTAGCTTGATGAAATCTAGTTATACTGAGAGTTCTGTTCTTTTACTTGACTGTGTGATAGGGCCTTTTTTACCGTGTAGTTGGGGGAGAGATCAGTCCTTTTAGGCTGGTGAGACTGAGTCCAGAAGAGCTTCTATCCAAGGAGCTGTCAGACTGGAGAAAATCTGAGAGCTCTGAGGTAAAATGAGTTTTGAGTTTGTTGGTGTAAATTTAAATGATTATGTTGTTTACATAAATTGTGTATGTATACAGAAAAGTCTGGATAAAAGTGGGAGATCCCACTCGGGTCAAATCAAAAGTGGATCCAGACAAGAGGCTACTCCCCTAGATATAGATATGGAGGAAGCTCCTCCAATGTCTGATGGAGATGTATGTATGCCTGCCACTTCCCAATCTCCTCACTTGGCTTCTGCTGCTGTAAGTGCTAGCTTTCTTGCTTTCCTGATCTGTATGTTTCTACACACACCTCTCTGTACGTCTCCTTCATTTCAGTTTTGCAAAGCGACTTGCTTTTCTCATAACTACCATCTTACTCGTAATATTTTTTTCTTTACATGAATGTTGATTGTTGAGTGAAGTGATTTTAATTTTTACTGACTCTTTTATGTTTGTGTGTGTGTGTAGTATGATATTTCATTTTTTCTTTTATATTGTTTTTATTTTGAACAGGATTCCCAAGAGGACACACGACCAACTTCTGCACCAGCTTCTACTGGGAAAGGAAACTCGATGCCAGATATCTTCAGTAGTATGCTGAAAGACACCACAGCAGAGCACCGAGCTCATCTCTTTGACCTGAACTGCAAGATCTGTACAGGTGGGATTATTTCACCACAGAAAAGTCACTATCTGGAAAGAACTGTTGGTTGTAATTATATCTATATATTTGTAATTGCTAATAATTCAAATTAACTTTTTAGGCCAGAAGTCTGCAGATGATGAACCGCCATCTAAGAAAACCAAAATGTCTGCACCTAAAAAGCCAGAGCCATCTTTTAAGTCTAAACCAGAGCCACGCCTATCCAAACCCCCTGCTGATTTTCCTCAAGTTTCCTCTCATTCTGGTCATGAGACATCTTTACCTGATTCAACGACTGTGATGGAAGATCTGAGCAGCGTTTTTCCTGTAGTTCAGCCCCCAGTGGCTGCTGCTGTACCGGCAGTCTCTTCTGTTACAATAACTCGAAGGGATCCTCGTACTGCTGGTCACCGGCCATCTGTGCCACAAATAGTTCCTGATGTTGTTCCTGCTATGCCAGCAAATGTTCCCACCTCTGTTGAACCTGCAGTTGTGGAAGCAAAGGTTCCTTTGCCAATGCCCCCTCCAGCCCCAGCATCTCTAGCCAGACCTGTGGTGCCAAAACCAACTAGGTGCAGCACTCTGCCTAATATAATACATATTAGATTTTTAATATCTAAATATCTTTGTAACATCTAAGCGTCTCTTTCTAGCTTGCTGCTAATTGGGTAATAATTGTAATTCTGTTGTAATTTCATCAGTGAGCCCCCTCCTGAAGGTGAAACTGCTTTGTTTTTGTCGGGACAAGAAATGATGTGGAAAGGATTTATAAACATGCACTCCGTGGCCAAGTTTGTCACAAAAGCCTACTTGGTTTCTGGATCGTTTGAGAATATTAAAGAGGTCTGTTTAATTTAAGGGTCTTCATATTACTTAGTGGGATTCATGTCTAGTTGATTAGTTTAACAACAATTTATTTTATGTCATTTTCAGGACTTGCCTGACACCATTCACATTGGTGGTAGAATATTACCACATACTGTGTGGGATTATGTGGGAAAGTTGAAGACATCACTATCGAAAGTATGAAAAAATTCATTCAAACTTTGTACTTTAATCATATGTTGATTGCTGTTTATTTATACTGAGTGTTACTTTTTTTCAGGAACTCAGTCTTATTCGTTTCCATCCAGCGACTGAGGAGGAGGAGGTGGCATACGTGTCTCTGTTTTCTTACTTCAGTAGCCGTAAGCGATTTGGAGTAGTGGCAAATGGCAACAAGCGTATTAAAGACCTTTATCTCATCCCTCTAAGTTCAAAAGATCCACTTCCTTCAAAGCTTCTGCCGTTTGATGGTCCAGGTAAGCATACACAATAGTTTTTGAAAATCTCTCTATGAAAAAAGCATGATTAAAGCCTGTTAGAACTGTTTACTTTTTGAATGGAAACATGTTTCACACAACATGTGCTATATTATTTTCTTTCAAGCAGAGTTGTTTTTTTCTGATGTTTTATGGTCATGTATTTTCTAATAAAGTTTTTTTTAATTATGTCATGAATCCAAATGAGATTTTTGTTTAGATATTTGTGGCAGTCTTTTTCTAGGTTTTTATTTTACTGTATGAATAAGTTTAATTACAAACTGGCTAGC